AACACTGAGGTAAGATCTCCAGTGTGCTGCGCTAAAACCTCAGGAAACAGACAACGCTCGCAACTAAAGGAAGATCATTATCTGCTCATCTGGATGACGGAAGCGGCTTTTGAAAAGTGCAAAGGCTGCGTCCAGGAGCCGCAGGGAAGCTCAGCATCAGCACAAGCTCCTGCTTTAAAGCTAATTCATTCATATCTTCATTCCTGCCTCCTGAAGACAAACCACCCAAAACAGCAGCGCACTTCATCCATCTTCAGATCCACAGGCCTTGCCAACTCCTGCTCGGGAGAAAACTCTACAGCGGAGTGGTTTTCTTCTCTCTCAAGAAAATACATACTTTGTGACATGAGAGAAAAGTCGGTTCAGCAAAAATTCGAGAATATGAAGTTGTTGTTTTGGACCGTTGGGACTTTTGTAAACAGTGGGAAAGTGAAGTCTAATGTTGAAGATGATTTGTATGATTTTATAGTAGAAGAGAAGAAACAGTATGAGGAGAGAATTTATGAAAAGAGAAGAGAAGAAACTAGAAGAGACGAGATGAGAGACAAGACGAGGCAGGAGAAGAAAAGAAGAAGAAATGAGAAGAGATTAAAAAAAAACAAGAAGAAAAGAAGAAGAGACAGTATGAGAGGGAGAGAGAATACATAAAGGAAGAGACAGTATGAGAAGAGGAGAGAATAAATGAAAAGAGAAGAGACTCGAAGAGATGAGAGAAAAGATGACGCAAGAAAAGAAGAGAAGAAAAGAGACTAGATGAGAAGAAAAGCAAAGAAAAGAGAATAGACTAGAAGAGACGAAAGACTAGATGAAGCAAGAAGAGAGAAGAAAAGAGAAGAGAGAAGAAATGAGAATAGACTAGATGAGAAGAAAAGAAAAAAGAGAATAGACTAGAAGAGACGAGAGACAAGATGAAGCAAAAAGAGAGAAGAAATGAGAATAGACTAGATGAGAAGAAAAGCGAAGAAAAGAGAAGATAAAAAATGCTAAAAGAAGAGAATAAATGAAAAGAGGAGAGAATATATGAGAAGTGAAGAGATGAGAAAAGACAGTATTAGAGGGGGAGAGAATATAGAAGGGAAGGAAAGGGAAGGAAAGAGACGAGACAGCATGAGAAGAGAAGAGACTAGAAGAGACGAGGTGAGAGAAAAGATGAGGCAAGAAGAGAGGAAAAGAGAAGAGGGAAGAAAGAAGAAGAAACGAGATTAGATGAGAAGAAAAGCAAAGAGAATATAAAAGAAGCTAAAAGAAGAGACATTATGAGAGGAGAGAAAATATATTAGAAGGGAAGGGAAGAGACGAGACAGTATGAGAAGAAAATAAATGAGATGATAAATGAAATGATAAATGAGAGATGAGACTAGAAGAGACGAGATACAAGATGAGGCAAGAAGAGAAGAAAAGAGACTAGATGAGAAGAAAAGCGAAGAAAATAGAAAATAAAAAAAGCCAAAAGAATAGAAGAGAAAGTATGAGAGGAGGAGAGAACATAGGAGAAGGGAAGGAAAGGGAAAGCAAGAGACGAGACGAGACAAGACAGTATGAGAAGAGAATAAATGAAAAGAGAAGACACTAGAAGAAATGAAAGAAAAGATGAGGCAAGAAAAAAAGAAAAGTTAAAAGAAGCTAAAAGAAGAGAAAAAAATGAGGCAAAAAAGAGAAGAGACTAGATGAGAAGAAAAGCGAAATAAAGAGAAGATAAAAGAAGCCAAAAGAAGAGAAGAGAGTATGAGAGGAGGAGAGAACATAGGAGAAGGGAAAGAAAGAGATGAGGAGAGACAAGACAGTATGAGAAGAGAATAAATGAAAAGAGAAGAGACTAGATGAGGCAAGAAAAAAAAGAAGAAACAAGAAGAGACTAGATGAGAAGAAAATCAAATAAATAGAAGAGAAGAGAAGAGATGATATGATATGAAAAAGGAAGGGAAAAACAGGGACTTGGTGAAAGGGACTTTTGTAAACAGCGGGAAAGTGAAGTTTAACATTGAAGCCAATTTTTTTTATGGTTTCTGAGAAGAGAAGAGAAGAGATGAGAAGAGTAGAGAAGAAATGAGAAGAGTAGAGAAGAGATGAGAAGAGAGGATATGAAGAGGCGAGGAATGAGAAATGGGGCAAGGTCAAGAAAACAAAACCAGGTAAGAGCAGAGAAAGAAAAAAGAAGAGAGGAAATGAGACTTCACGAGAAAGAGTGGGAATAAATCAAGAAATCAAACTCAGAAGACACTAGAAAAAGAGAAATAAAATCCTCTGGAACTAGATGAAGAAGATGAACCGAGGCATAAAGAGACGATACGATACGAGATGAGACAAGACTCAATGAAATCAGGAGATGAGATATGGTGAAAGGGCATGGCATGTCTTTAAACCACCTCGACATATTAATACATGGGTCATACCTATGTAATTATAAAAAGTGTGTCCTCTTAAACCACCTTCCCACTCACACACAAACAAAGGTACATTTTAAGGTGCATCTTGTCTACTGTACAGTTTTACTGAATTATAATAACACTTATTTACAAAATCAAGTCAATTTGCAATGGCATTCATTTGAAAGAAATATATAATTTTTAACACCAAAATGAGCAAATAAAACATCCCGCCCCCTAAAAAAAGAAAATCAAAACCTAAAGAAAAAGCAATACAGCACTTATCACTGGGTATATTTCTGTCTCTCCTCTGAAACGTATTCTAAAAATATCACTTTAAAACACTCAAAAGATATTATTGGGTGTTTTCCGTCAAGTAAATGTCATAACTCAGTCACTGTGTAACACCAGTTAAAGGCCATTAAAAAAAAAAAAAAATCACCAAACACCATCGTGCCGCTGGGTGACCTAGCATTTCTTGAGCTGACAGATGTTTCCAGCCACTGCTAGTAGTGTATATCATTCCCAGAGGGAAAAGTGTCCGGCTGCGGCCTGAGGTGAGCACATCCACACAGCAATTACATCGTGCTGAAGACCACTGAGAGAAACAACAGCCACTGAGGTGTGTGTTAGTACAAGAACAGCTCAAGCACAAATCATCAAACACCTGTCATCATTTACTCACCCGCATGTGCTTACAAACGTGTATGATGCACTTCAGAGAATGTTGAGTCAACAGAAGAAAATGAGCAAGAAGGACACTATGAAGCCTGCATTGATAATGCATTAAAAAAACCTTCTTATTCTGTTATAATGCATGCACAATGGCTCAATAAACTGTGTTGTAACATGTCATACCATAGATCACTATTATGACAGTAATAATGTAAACTAAATATACTGTAATATTATACATCTGAATGCTATGCAGAGGTGTGATCTGAATTCTAATTATAGTATACAGGGATGTGAAAAAAGCCAAAAGAATGGCTGAAGAAAAAAAAAAAATTAAGATTTTGGTGTGCCTAGTCAAAGTCCTGACCTGACCTGACCTGTTTATAAAAAAAAAACTGTAATGAGGCAAATACTTTTTTACAACACTGTATACATCACATCATACACATGTTCTGGTTTTCTAAGTGATTTTTACCTCAACATTTGTTATCCCAATATTGTTATGGTCTTTTACAGCTTAAAGTGACTAAAGATGTCCTGTAAACATGTAAAAAGACATTCTTATTCTGTTATAATGCATGTGAAATACCTTATAAACTGATATGTGCCATACTTTGAATCACTGTATTAAATGTAATAATATATACTAAAACTAAAGTTTTATCTATCTGAATCCTATTGAGATGCTGCGGTATGACCTCAAAACGTGGTTCATATCGTGTTACCTTAATATTAAAATTTATATTTTTTATAAATGTATAATTTATAACTATGTCACAGAGATGGGATGTGGCTGGAAGGGCATCTGCTGTGTAAAAACTTGCTGGATAAGTTGGCGGTTCATTCCGCTGTAGCGACCCCAGATTAATAAAGGGACTAAGCCAACAAGAAAATGAATGAATGAATGAATTTATAACTAATATTTAAATTTGTTTGATGATGTGAGATATTGATGTGACAAAAAAAGAGGTTTTCTAAGTTTTCTTTATCTCGTTGCTTTTTCACACGGTTTATATCCCCGTTTACATGTTCTAATTTTCTAAGTTAGTTTTTATATCAACATTGTTATGCTTTTACAGCTTAAAGCGACCAAATATGTCTTGCAAACATGTAAAAAACAAAAAAAACAAAGACATTCTTATTCTGTTATAAAGCATGCATAATGCCTTATATGCCGTATTATGTGTTACTATGCATCACTGCAATGAAAGCAATACATCCTAAAAATATAGCTTTATTTATTTGAATTCTAATATTATACAGGGAAGTGAAAAGTCAAATGGCTGAAGCAAAACAAAATGAATAATTTGGAGTGGTCTAGTCAAAGTCCTGATCTAAATCCTATTGAGATGATGTAGTATGTGTGTATATATATATATATATATATATATATATATATATATATATATATATATATATATGTGTGTGTGTGTGTGTGTGTGTGTGTGTGTGTGTGTGTGTGTGTGTGTGTATATATATATATATATCTGTAATGGGGCAAACACTTTCACACCACTCAATACATCACATCATTCACATGTTGGTTTTCTAAGTTTTTTTCTATCTCAACGTTGTTTATCCCAACATTGTTGTGGTCTTTTACAGCTTAAAGTGACTGTAAACATGTAAAAGGCATTATAATATGTCCTTAATATGGTAACACTTTATTATGAACAACAATTGTGACCCTAGACAATGAAACTTCCCATCTATGGTGTCCATATCTGTAGCACATGCCAAAATTACAGAGGATTTTTTTTGTCAAGTTAGCATGTGTGAAGATAAGATAATACTCTAATAAAATGCTGTTCTGTAATAAACATGGTCCTAACAGGAATTACCATGGTTGAATTAGATTTTAAAGTTAGTATCTTTCTGTAATATTCCAATTCCTAAAAACTGTTTATTCTAAAAAAAAAAGAAGAAGAAAAAAACCCAAAGTGAATGAGACCAATGGAACCATCTTTAACCGTTTATTTCAGTTTTCTGACACATTATGCTGGTCTTGCCAAGGAACAAACAAAGAATGAGTGAACAGTTGAACAAATACCCCCCAAAAAAGTCACAGAACCACTTTAAAAAAAAGTGTGTTTTCATGAAGGGCCGGCAATGTAGTGAGTCTATAGTGAGAACATACTGAACTCCTGTATGACTTAAACACCGATTACAGTACAATAAGACAGAGTCACGGCGGTGACAGTAACAAACATCATTCTGAGTGTGAACAATCCACCCAATAGTTAAACATGTGCGATGAGAAACGGTGAAGGACGGCATTCCTGCTGGTGATCTGCCCTAAAGTGAAGGAAAGGCTCTGGAATGCAGCTGTGAATGGATTTTATTACAGCATGTGATGCTTGGCCAAGAACTTGACAGACCTGAAACCTGGGATCCAAGTACTGGCACATTCCAATCCAAAAACAACAAATAAACAGAAAATGTATAGTAAAAACACAGCATAATCTCTTTAAATTCTTAAAAAAAAAATCCAAATTGTTATTTATTAAACATCATTCATTGATAGAACTCGGAATAACTTTACATATACTGCACATATAGAAAATTCACTGTATGTATTGCCGTCTACATAATGTGTTCTCCAGTGTTAAGGCACGTAACATATATTCCACATTGTATAAAACGGTTTTCTTGCATATTCGCACTCATCCACTATCAAATCTACGAAAATAAAATCCAGGATGCCATAAAAAATATTGCTCAAAGCGACAAACGTTGAACCTGAGCTGCGCGGAAGAAAACTGAAGGGGCAAAGTAATTGTGTGCTTCATAATAGCTTCTTTAGTGTTGAAGGATAGTTTGGTGTACACATACAAACACGATCAGTCATTTAATCTCGATTACACCCAGTTTAATACTGTATTAGCCTCTATAAAAACTCTACCATCTTTTCATATCAACCCTCCAGCACAAAAAAGCAAACATGAGGTTCGTGTGTTTATGAACGACACAAAAGTACAATTGAGGAGCTTTGAAAAGTAACACCCCCCAATTTTTTTTTTGGCCCAAGCACATTCCATAACGAACACAACAGATCTTATAATCCTCCTGGTCGGCTGTTCATAAATCAGCGGTTTTGCCCAAATGAGATCCCGAATGAACAGATTGGTGAGGCCTTGAGGTTATGCGAGCACAGCATGACAAATCATCTCATAAAAACTATTTTAGCATCTCTCTAGGGGACTCCGTAATACACCACACCCCTGACATTTGCTGAATCAGGGAATAATATCTTGCGTAACAAAAGAATAAACACCCCACGTGCGCATCTAAACTGTCTATTATACAGACTAAAGGTTTTAGGTGATGAGAAGGTACACGGTCACAGTCTAGTCTGCTAATTATCTTAGCGTAGACTGATTAAAATGGAATGTTTTCGTGAAGGTTTGCTTGTGTTCCTGAGGGCGAGATTCCTGTATTGGAAAAAAAAAATTGGATACAAGAGTTGAGGGTAGAAAGGCACTTAAATGGAAAGCTCGGCTGAATAATGACAACTCTGTCATCATGTACACACCCTCATGACATTCTGTTAAAAGCAATTAATGTTGATGACAATCAAAAAATTGATAAACAAATACAACAAAACATATTTTTGCATCAAACAGAAAGCCAACACTGATTTGGAATATCAAGAGTTATTAAATGACTCAAAAATTAAGCTTTGCTATACATTTTCTTCTCGGGACAAGGATGTAGGTGATTTTGCTTTTACTGCAGAACAAGAATCATGGCAGGAAATTGGTTTAAAAACGCATGTTAACAGCTAGCTTCACTTTTAGAGTCAAAAAACCAAAGCAAACAGGCAAAACAAATCTGAAACAACTGGTTTGTGTGCAAAAATGTCTATATGAAATAATTTATCTTGCACAAATCAAACATTTCACTCAAGACCTCCACGTATTCTCAGAAGCTACGAGTATTTTATATTTGCTTTGCCTTTGAGTTTCATTTTATAAATGCTTTTAGCTACAAATCTTTTTTTGTTGTTGTTGGTCTTTAGATGAAATCCAAAAGCTTTCCGACAATCCATAGATCTCAGCTTTGCATGATAACAGTGCGCAAAACTGAAGTCTGCACTCTCAGAAATGAAGGTACGCAAGCTGTCACTAGTGTGGTACCTTTTCAAAAGACACACTTTTTTTTTACCTAAAAAGACCATATTAATACCTCAAGGGTACATATTAGAACCTAAAAAGTACAAAAGTGTTTCTCTTAAATTTTTTTAGGTACTAATATATACTTTTGAGGTACCAATTTGGACCCTTCAAGTACAAATGTGTAACTTTTGAAAAAGTACCACCCCAGTAACAGCTCGCAAACCTCTATTTCTGAGAGTGTATATGAAACAGTTTATCTTGCACAAATCAATCATTCCTTTTAAGACCTTAATGTACTGTCATAAGCTGTGAGTATTCATATTTGCTTTGCCTTTGAGATTCATATTATAAACGCTTTTAGCTACAAATCTTAAGTTTTTGGTCAAACTAAAGGGTTAGTTCACCCAAGAATGTCATTTCTGTCATTATTCACCCCATTATGCCATTCAGACACTTCAGATGAAATCCATTTACTTTATCCAAGACTTTATTTTGATGGTCCCTATTGCACATTTTGTTGACTAAAAGTTGCCAATTACTTCTCATTTGAGTATTAGTAGACTGTCTGCTTAATATCTGCTGATAGTGCTCCTTTAGCAGACATTTAACTGACTTTAAGAAACTTTGCAAGTACATGTCAACCTACACTAACTTTAACCCTACAATCTATTGAGAATTAGTTGGCATGTAGACGCAATGTCACCTAAATTCCACAAAATGTGTTAAAGAGACCATAAAAATAAAGTAATACCCAATATTTTATTTTCCAGGCTCTAAAAGTCTTTAGATCACTGCTGTATATGGTAGATAAAAGAGCTCTGGGATTTCATCTAAAATTTCGCCATTTGCATTCCAGATGAACGAAGGTCTCAAAATAATAAGCAGAGGAGTAATTATTAACATTTTTAATTTGTGGGTGAACTAACCCTTTAAGAAAAAGAATCTGAGATGAAGGTGAGAAAAAGAAAAAAAAAAACTCATCTTGAACCATTTCTGAGCCAATGAAAAGGATCAAGAAATCAGCTCAAGCTAGCGGTTACAGTACAAACGTCTCCAGCAGTCATGTGCTCCAAGCATCTTTGGTCAATGATCTTGTACGAAATAAACAGCAGAAAAACAATCATCGCAAATAACAGTGTGTGTACACATATCAACTGATAAGGCTGTAAAAAAGTTTAAAGCAAACAAAGTATGGCTGCGATATCAGCATGTTCGCATACGCACTGAATCAAATCCCCAAAGGCTATGCCCTAGGACTGTACGTGGTCAATAAACGATAAGTAGCCTGACGCCTCTGCTGCCTAAAGCACTGGATGAATGTAACTATATAAATCTCCTATCCTGCAGGAACGTGTGTAGAAACAAAAGCAGCAGCATATAGTATAATAACTAAAACAAGACATACAAACAAACACTCAAGCAAGAGCCTGCCACAAGCACCATCTGTATATGCATGAAACACAAGAAAACCTTAACTGTGCTAGAGGACAGAAAGCCATTTTAGGGTCTGGTAGACGTCTAAGAGCTTCAGTAACGGAACGCAATCGAGTAAACGTGTATGTAATAACATAAATTGTAATCTTGATAATTGTAGAGTGCATCTATACACACAAACAACACATTTAAAGACTAACACTTCACAAATAGTGTGTAAAGCAGGAAGTAATGCTTAAATCAACATGAACAGGGAAAGTGACGAATCAAGAACGTATTAAGCGAAACGCCATGAGTAAAATGTGGCTACATGACTGCGAATAATGGCTACTTCTGAACGAGGTTTAATAGTTAAAGGGATGGTTCACTCAAATGTTAAAATTGTCATCATTTACATTAACTGGTTTCAGTACTTTGAGTTTGTTTTTTGTCTGAACACAGATATATTATTTTGAAAAATGCAGATTTCCATTCATGGCCTCTACTTTCGTTGTTTTACACTATGGAAATCTCGAGGTGACTAGCACAGACATTCATTTGCTTATCCACATTCTTCATAATATTATCTTTCAGGAGAAGATATATTGATTGCATAACAAATAATTCAAGATGACTAAAGCCTATTTCTAAAACTCTACCCTATTTCTAGTACATATGTGTTTAATTGGATTGTAAATGGCATTATTCATGGACATGTTTAAGTTTTCCAATAATTTGAACCCAGAATGTCACATTTTTGTTTTTTTGTAAGAGAAATAGATAGAATATATTACTATTTATTTACTAAAGGGATAGTTTACCCCAAAATGTTCTTCTCTTCTATTGAACACAAAGTTTGGAAAGCAGCAGCCATTGACTTCATACTAAGGAAGTTTTTGGTTCCTACTAAGGTTGTTAATGGCTGAAAATCTTTTGAAGGTCTTGTTTTCTTGTTTAACAGAAGAAAGAAATTCACAAATGTGCGAGTAAATGAAGACATTTTTACTTTTGAAGAATGCGGATTCCATTCCTGGCCTTAACTTTCGTTGTTTTATACTGAAATGATTGAAATGGTCAGGGACAAGCAGAGACATCGATTTGGTCATCCACATTCTTCACAATATTATCTATCAGCAGAAGACAAACAACTTGAGGCTGAGTAAATAACAATCTTCTCAGATTGATTGTATAACAATTAATTTAAAGTGACCAAGACTTTTTCTAAAATTCAAAAAACTTGTTTTAATGGGATTGTAAATGAGATCATTCATGGACATGATTAATTACGATTATTAAATTTTCCAATAATTTGAAGCCAGAAATACATAAATGATGTCAGAGTCAAAGTCAGAATAAGGTTTGTCACAGCACATCTTTTTTTTTTTTTGCAACACAAATAGATAAAATATGTGCTAAAATGTAGTTATTAAAGAGATGTTTCAGTCAAAAAATTTTCTTCTCTTCTACTGAACACAAAGAAAAAATGCTGGAAAGTAGCAGCCTTCTGGTATGGTGTGACTTCTATGGTATTTTTGGTTCTTAGTAAGGTTGTCAATGGCTGCTGCAATTTTTCTCAATACCTGGTTTTGTGTTCAACAGAAGAAAGAAATTCAGAAAAATGGCAGCTGCCATTGACAACCTTAGTAGGAACTAAAAATACTATAGAAGTTAATGGCTGCAAATTCACAAATGTAATGAAAACAAATGTAATGAATGCAAATAAAGACATTTTTATATTTGAGTGAACTTTCAAGCAGATTAGTTCTTGATCGGTTTGAAACTTTAATTTAAAAGCAAATATTAGTTCAGGACTCCTCAAGTACACTTTTTGTCTCTGGATCTCTGGAATTTGTTTAGCTACTGACTGCGAAGGGTACCGTTATTTTTGTTTTGTTTTTGGTTCTGGGAATGGGAAGTACGAGTGTAGTGCTATCAGCAGTGTCTAACGGTAGGAGAGGAAGGCTCTATAAAGTGCGCCAGAACATCCAGGTCCAAATAAACAGATAAAGGAATGTATCTGGACTGCTTCTGCTTGGAGAAACAAACCTCCTCCACTTTTGAGATGGTTTCCAAACAAGAAAAAAAAAAGGAAAGAAAAAAAAAATCAGTCATAGTAAAGTAAAATAAAAGACCATCCAGTTTGCATATGCTGGCCACACTCACTCACTCAAGCTCTCAAAAAACAGAACAACCTTTAATCTAAACTTTATACATCTAAAATATATATCTATATATATGTAGTACCAAACCTATATCTTCATAAAATAATCATGAATATATAATAACATTTCTTAAAGCTATCGTGCAAATTGGATTCAGCATAACAGGTAGAAAGCATCATAGAAATGTAGTTTTGAGTGAATGTTCTGGTAGGCAGCTGTGATCCCTGTCCTGGGACTGTTTTAGTAGGGATTTTTGGTTTGAAAGCTCCTCGTCGTTTAGCTTTTGTCCCAAAAAGCAGCTAGCGGGTGGCGAGGTGAGCTGCATAGTCTCAGTTTGTGAAAGCAGAGGAGTGGAGGAGAGTAGCAGGCCTGTTGGGCTCAGCGGGACCTCCAGTCCTGTGCTTTCTAAAAGTGTCCTGGATGCAGGAGTGTCTTTGGTGTATGGCAGAGTGCCTGTAATGGGACTCGATGGTTCCTTCACATAGCATAAGTTCTCTGGGACTGGCCCGTCTGAGGCCTGTCGGCAGGACTGAGCTTTGTCCTGCTTTCTGAAGTTGAGTTTGATATGGTTGTCTGAGTTCTTTGAGCTTACCGGGGTGTCCCGCATCTCCACGCTCTTTGACGAGATGGGGCTGGCGAGAGCTTTTTCCTTTGGTTTGGTGCTGCTCACGTGGCTTTGCTTTGCTTTAGGCCGGTAGTCTTTCTGGAAGGGCCTACAAAGGGGGAAAAATGGGGCGCGAGGGGCGAAGAGCGACCCAAGGGAGCCCAGCTTCATCTGGCTCTGACTCAGGACCAGTCTGCGCATCTCCACTGGCAGTTTGTCCAGTTGTCTTCCCATGTGGACAGGATTTGGGAATAGAGTTCCCTGACAGGCTCTATAACAGTATCTGAGAAATGAAAACAACTGAGAGTCAGCAAAAGTAAAAAGAAAAGGAGACAGCACGAACTAAAGCTCCCATGAGGTCTGCAGTTACATGGCCTAAATATGAGAAAGTGCTGGAATCAGATTTCATCCATCAACATTCAACAAATGTTTTCACTGAAAATCTGAATTATTCTGACAAATGTTGATTGTATTGTTTTAACACTGGAACGGCCTGAATTCCAGAACTACTAGAATTACCATAAGCTCTCATATAAGTTTTTAAATTTTCATGTTAACCTGTCACTATAATCTATATCGACTTATCACACAACACATGGACATGTCCTCAATTACTTTTGGTGATCCCATACATAAAAAAACAATTCTTGCAACATTTTAGCTGATTGTGAACCTCTCTATCTCTGTTGGAGGTGTCAGTGTCAGTATGGTTAAAACACTACAGTAATTATTATAAATTACTTTAGTAAATCTTCATGTGGGTGTCAGACAATTGAAAATAGATCTGGTAGCAGATATTGCAGCCTCTGGTACTGCAACAACCTTGCACCTGTGTTAACATTAATTATTATTTATTCAACATATACGTTTTCACATTCTGATTCCAATGCCTAATTATTAAATTGTTAAAATGACTAAAATAAAGTTAAATATTCTTAGGAATAAAACAGTGCGTGTTCTCAGGAAAATTGCACTTGCATTGTGACGATATCATGCCGTCATTCTGGCATTAAAAGGTCTTAAAATGACAATAGTACCGTTTAAATCGCAGAATATTTTGGTGCAATATATCGTACAACAAAACATTGGAAAGTATTGCGTTCCCTCTCAAAACTGTTAGTCCACAAACACTTCCTGTTCACTTCATTCATGTCAATCCTCTTCGGATTCTCCTGTATTTTACCATTCCATCTGGCTATCATCCTATCATTAAGTATTTTCCCATTATTCTCCCATAATTGTTTTTTTAATCTTAAAAGCACAATGAAATGAATATAAAAATGTCAGCACTTTCTTTCTATTAAAGCTGTGTTGATCATTGCCCTTCCTATGCAACCTCTGACTCAGTAAATGCATGTAAAATACCCGTTTCACACCACAAGCGAGAGCAGCGATGTCGTGACAGGCCTATTTTCATGTCATGTTTACATGCAAAGCTTCTATCTAGATATTAGAATTAAGCTTTGAATGTTCGTTGTCATATTTTATGAAGTCATTAGCCTTAAAATATGATCTATTTAATAATACATCCTATTGTTTTGTAGTCTAATAGACTGCCATCGAAGATCCATACCCGATTCTATTTTCACTTTCACAAGCAGGGGGAAAGGCTTTTTTGCGGCACTGAATATGCCGTTTTAAGAGACGTATTTGAAGTCATGTTTTTGTTAGAGAAATTATGTTTATGTTAGCAGGAAGTTGCTTGGCAACAGAAGTATGCATATTTAAAGTCACAAGGGAAAAGTAGACATTGAAGTGCAGGAGGTCATATCAAAGTCAGGGTAATATAGATTTGTGGTATTATTTTAAGAAAATTACAATTTTAAAATGTTCAAAATTCCCGTCTACTAGCCGTAGTGTTAATTAAATTAATCTCCTGAATAATTTAGTTTTTAAAAGCCATTGTTTGTTTTAATTAGCTATATTAATGAAGATTTTTATTATTATTATTATTCAATAACATAATTTTATTATTAGCTGTTGATTAACCTAAAAAGCCATACAGCACTCCTATGAAACACAATTTTGGAAAACCCCATTTTAAATGACACATTATTACACAATTTTAATTATAAGAATTAATTCTGTACTTCTTGGCCGAGATAGTGGCTCACAGCAAGAAGGTCACTGGTTCGAGCCTCGGCTAGGTCAGTTGCCATTTCTATGTGGAGTTTGCATGTTCTCCCCGTGTTGGTGTGGGTTTCCTCCGGGTGCTCCGGTTTCCTTCACAAACCCACAGACATGCGCTATAGGGGAATTGAATAAACTGAATTGGCCGTAGTGTTTGAGTAAGAACAAGAGTGTATGGATGTTTCCCGACAACTGGGTTGCAGCTGGAAGGGCATCTGCTGCCTGAAACATAAGCTGGATAAGTTGGCAGTTCATTTCGCTGATGAATAATGGGACTAAGCTGAAGGAAAATTAATGAATGATTTCTGTAATTCTCACAACTATTTAACTGTTAATTGAAAATGAAAACAAAAAAACAATAATAAATTAAATAATAAAAATAAAAACTCCAAACTTTGGAACCCAAAACATCAAAATGCAAAACTAACAGAATTGCTACATGCAGCAATAAAATTCCAGCACACAAAATAAACAATCAGCCCAAATAATTTTAATGAAATCAAATATTTCCATTAAGTTGCAATCAAATTTGTATACCTGGGCAGAAGAGCGGCGACAGGTGTGACGACACACAGTAGGTAGAAGAGCGGATCTCCCAGCAGCCTCTGCATGGTCCAGTAGGTGTTGGAGGGAGAGAAACAGGTCGGGCAGGAGGCGTTATAGCACAGCGCCACAGTAAAGAAGAGGGCCATACTGAAGCCAATCGACACCCAGTTCATCCACGTCTGACAAACAATTCAAGAGTTAAACAAGAGCTGCAAACAGGATTCAATTTGATATTGTTTGAAAACGACAACAAATGTTTATTTGGGCTTAAACTACAAAAGAAAATTTAAAACAATTTTAGTATTAGTTTTGCTTAGTAAGTTGCACACGAGTTTGATCATGTATGAATATCATTATAAAATTGTATAAATATTATTATAACTATAGGCCTACATCATCCTGACAATCAAAACTGACGCAGTCGGTGTAAAAGGCAAACGCCTGTTTGCTGTTTCTGCTCTCCATAAGCTCTGCGCATGCTCTGCTCACACTCTGCACGCGCTTGTGGTGTGAAACAGGTGTTTTACATGTATTCGCTTATTCAGAGGTTGCATAGGAAGGGCGATGATCGACACACAGCTTTAATGGAAAGAAAGTGAATGCAGACAATTTTATATTAATTTTGTCATGCTCTCAAGATTAAAAATATGGGAGAAATATGGTAAAATACTAAATGATAGGATGATAGCCAGATAGAAAAGTAAAATACAGGAGAATTCAGGGAGAGTTGACATGTATGAAGTGAACAGGAAATGTTTGTGGCAAAACAATTTTGAGGGGGAACACAATACTTTGACTTTTTTTCTCCAATCTATTCCCCGCCCCCCCACAACCACCTTATCCCTTCCGCGTCTCCATAGCATAGTGCTCATATATGATCGCAAAATACTGACATCGAGTTCCTGTTTTATGTGCGCACAAAAGTATTCTCTGGGCTTTATAATGTTCACAGAGAGCACATTATTTGGCACCTTTCTGCACTTGTCTATGGAGGATGAGGGAGCTCTCAGATATCTAAAATATCCTAATTTGTATTGAAGATGACCTAGCGTCTCTGGTTCAGAATGGCAAGAGGGTGAATAATTAATAGAATAACTTTCTGGGTGAACTCTATAAATATCTTAAAAAAATTAAAACATCCACACCTAGATTGTGCACAGATGACCTTTTCACACATACTTGACCTCCACACTGACCTCACCTAGAATGACCCCAAAAAATAGGGTCTTTCACTTGCTCTCTCTGCTACATGTATTCATTTCTCCGGGCAGCACGTGGAGCGATGAAACTGCCAGTCCAACTATTGGAAACGTTTACTCTCTACTTGAGCCATTTACTGTGAAGAACGGCCTCTTTCCCACCAGAAGCCGTCATCATGTCCGGAAAGACAGTGAGGCTGCAGAGGACATTTTTCACGCACCGAAACTTGTCAGCAGAAAATTTACAGCACCGGTGTAATGGAAAAAGCTCTAATCCAATCCGCCGTCATAAATCTAAAACAGCGACTCACGAAAAGCGGGAAAAATGGAGGAGAGGCAGGTATGGGCTGCAGCGCACATATATAAATGTGGTTCACGACCCACCACAGGACACGCATGGGCAAGATCAACTATTAGCTCTGGCCACCCGGTGTGTGTCGGCTGTGTTTGGCCGGCGCGGGGAGCAAATGAGACAAGCACAGTGGGCTGAATGAAGGATTCCTGCGCGGCCTGTCAACCTGATGTCTGACCCCTGATGGCGCAGATTCTCCTGGTTTAAACCAATCACGAAGGCTCCCTGCTTAATGATCTTTCGCTACATCGAGGAAAAAAGGAAATGTGTGCTCTCTCTCTCTCTTTTCGTGTATGTGTGTGGGATGAGCTTCTGATTTCAGCTGAAGCACTTCGTTTCTAAATGCTAAAGTTTGTCACATTGATTGTACACAAGACGTATGTAATTGTGCACATGCTGCGACAGCCTAATGAATTGTTTTGCAGCAAGTTTAATTAACAATGATGTATGAAGGCAATGGGTTAGCAACGAAGCTGTTAGAGTAAATAATAAAATGCCACAGGAGTTCAAAATCGGCTTCAAGGTGATTTTTTAGTCAGGTGTAAGAGCTTTTTAAAGAGGTGTACCATTAAAATGAATGCCAATATGTTTAGAACAAAAAAAGTGAATGCAACAATTTTAGCAACAAAAATAATTTAAATCAGTTAAAATAATTCTACATATTTTTAAAGTACAAAAAATTGCTAGATAAAAAAACTGCAACCCGAGTAACAGTAGGTTTTCTTTAATATGTACATTTTTTCATCAATTATGTACACTGCTCAGCATATACAAGTACACCCCTTACAAATCTTTTGAATTCACATTTTTACTATGAAGCTATACAATATCCTATATGTGCATATACATTAGATTAGTCAGAACTGAAGCCAAATATGGAGCTTATAAAACAAAATAACTTATGATAACAGTCCAAAAACTAGTACAGATCTTTAGGATTATATCAACTAGAAATTCCAAGAGTTCAGTCAAAGCAGGGGGAATTGGCCTACAGCTACTACACCCCCCAATGCTGGAATCAGCTTCAAAAATGATCAGCTGTGCTCCAACATTGCGCACATTTAAATCAAGATTGCAAGCCCATCTGTTTAGCTGTGCCTTTAATGGCCTGAAAGATCACACTATTATATCTTTCTTTTCTTTTTCATTCTTTTATAACCTGTTTAACACATTTTAATCTGCTTTAATCATTTTTATTGTTTGTTTTTCTTTTATTTTCTTTTAAATTCCTGCTTATGTATAGCACTTTGAATTACCATTGTGTACGAAATGTCCTATATAAATAAACTTGCCTTGCCTTTAAGCAGCAAATCAAAAGTTTAATTTTAATAAGAGCATTGTTTTTAAGAATGTATTTTTTTGCTTTCAAAATAGTCAAAAAAGGCTAGTACACTTTTTTAAAAATACTATTTTTAAAAAAGTTTTAATATCTTTTTTAGTTTTTATAGATTTGCAGAAGACACCCAGTAAAATGACATTTAGTGTCACAAGTTTCAGGGATCTTAAGAACAAAACTCATTTGATAAGATTAAAAGACTCACCCAGGTTTTGGTTTCGATGCCCAAGTGCAGCAAAATAGTGAAGAGTGCCAAGGTAGTGATGGGAGTACCCCACGTAAACAAGTCCACATCAGAGTCAATATAAGCCTGAAATCAGACGACATTCAGCCATGAATAATTTTACCAACCATGACCGCTTTGTGCATTATTCCATTAAATAGAAAATGGAAGAAATGGTTACAATTTGACATTTTCACTGTGAATGCAATTAATACAATCCATGTGGAAAAAACAACATTTTAAAAAGTCTTAATATCTTAATAATTTCTCGTTTTAAGATATGTTCAATATATTGAGTCAGTCTAGGGCCATATGCACTTGCAAAATAAAAAAGTTTTGCAAACAAAAAATAAAGTATTGAGCAAAAAAATAAAATAAATACATGCAAATCTCTAAAAATTACAAAGCGAAAATAAATAAAAAATAATTTTGCTAACAAAAATTGCATTGCTTTACAAAACCCATCCAGTCAATTGTAACGCTTATTTTGATTTGCTTAGTCAACTGTGAGTTTGCGATGCTGTTTTCACTTTGAACTTCACGTTTCTGCCACGTTTCACTTTGTGTCCCTAATTTGACAGGGGGGTGGAGTTAAGGGAACTTGGGGGTTTATGGCAGGCCCAAACCTAGTGGGTTGTCAGACCACCTCTGTTCCCTTGTCTCTGCCTCCGACAAATCAGGGCCACAAAGGGAAACTTGATTAATGAAATTGCAAATATTTTTGTTTTATTTTGCTCTGTTTGACTTTTTGTTTGCATATTTATATTAATAAATGAATTTATGAATTTATTATTAATATATAATTTTTTTTTTCTGAAAACTTCTCTTTGTTTGTTAGCAAAATATTTTTTCCCTAAAAAATGTATTTTTGCTGTGCGATTATTGGAGATTTACATTTAATTATTTATTTTTTGCTCAATACTATTTTTTTTTTTTGCAAAACTATCTTTTATTTTGTAAGCATATATGGCCCTAGATTGATTCCATATAAATCTACATTTTTTTAGAGGAAAGTGAACACAAGAAAAAAAAAAGATTAGTAAGACTCGAGTTTGAGGACAGATTCTTACTAATAACTAGTTAATTATTACCTGCCTATTATTAAGATACTGGCTGTTTATTAGCACTTATAAAAACATATTCTGCATGATCTTATTCTATTTCCCTAATCCTTCCTAAAACCAAATACTACCTTAATAGCAGTAAATAAGCAGCAGATTAGGAGTTTATAAGGGCAAAGGCATCATTAACAGCTTGTTAATAGCAAAAACTGCACCTTAAAAAAAGTGTGACCAAAACAACAAGTAATCTTTATAGCGCATTAGATTTTTAAATGCTCTACTGGAAGATTTCATTATGATAAGATGACCTTCCTTCTTAATGAAGACATACTCCTCTTTAACAGTCATGGTATGTGAAAAACAAAACAAAAACCAGTCAAACTTACAAAGTAGGGGATAAAAAAACAGATGAGGCTTTGGTAGAAGGCATCAATCATGTTCATCCAAAACATGTAGGGTTTATATTCCTGTAAAACAAATTCAAACATTCAGTATCAAGTACAAAAATATACAATATAATACAATACAATAAACAGACAGTTAATAAATCAAAAATAAAGGAAGACCTCAGCAGAGGCATATTGTTAGCAAAGCAGAGGCAACTGCTGCAGTTTAATTATCCCGGGTTGCACAGTTTCAGCACTCCGAGGATGATTAGTGGTTTTTATAAAATGTTTGCTCTCGCTCGTGCTGTTTTTCCCTCTCGTGGAACTCAGCACAGAATAAAAGACCCATTTTGAATCGGGTCAGCAAAAAACAATCAAAGCAATAACTGTGGCAAGCGGCGCACTGTAATATACTTCATCTGCTTACAGAGGAACTGCTGATTTCGCAAAGCACTGGCAACTCATGTGTGAATATGCTGTTTGTAGGCTTTTTATTTACCGTTTGCATTACACTTCCTATAGTTTACTCACTCCCAGTTATAATTGCAATTGCGTTTCTTCCAATCGGCATGTACCTCTGAGTTTTGTCCATTCATGTAGAGCTGCGGCAGCTCCTGAAGCGTTTCTGCTGACACGTCTTTGTCCAGTGTGCCGGTGATGAGCTGAGGGAACGCGGAGAACATCAGATTGAAGAAGATCAGGTACCACTGGTCCACCATGGCTGACCCGGAGAACCCACAGTAGAACTGATACCAGAAGATCAGGGCAACAAACATCTGGGATGGGAAGAACACAGGAAAAAAGGGTGAGAGAAAGACAAAGAGGTCTACAATGAGGTCTGCAGCTGCTGCCGTTTAACAAGCCATGCATCTTCATTACATTCCAGACGTTTCTAGGACCTCTCCAAGAATAGATCTTCATTAATCTAAGGGTATATGAAGAACTGACAACAACGTGTTAACAGCTTCCAGCTATAAACTATTCCCATCATGACACTTCAACCTGTTAAATTGCATACATTATTAAACAGCTCTCTAGAATACTCTTCACTGATTGGTCAATCGTGCAGTTAAATCTCTGTATGTTATAAAAATTATATTTAAAGCATTATATTGCCTCAAAATAGCAATTCTGTCATGATTTATTTTAATAAAACATCATCTTTTAGATTTAGCATACAAACGTATACAATCCTGGATCATAAAATAGTTTAAGCCAAATATCATTAGTAAATTAAGTAAAGATCAGGTTTCAATAATATTTTTTGTAAATTTTCTACCGTAAATATAGCATTTGATTAGCAATGTGGATTGCTAAACACTTCATTTGGACAACTTAAAAGGTAGTTTTCTCAATATTTAGATTGAGACAATTATTATAAGCATACATTATTGGAAGCTTATTTATTCAGCTTTTAGATGATATTTAGGCCATTTTAATGCGATCATGTCATAGGCCCATTAACAATTCCTGCTGGCAATCACAGAATGTCTGTAAGAAGTGGCAATTCAATCATAATTTAATGTTAAAACAGCTATCATAACATTATTCATCAATATGTGAATCGTTTTGGATTCTCGTAAGCTATAGAAAGAAAAAAAAAAGTAAAACAGGAAATACGTTGGGACCATTGTTTTTGTTTACATCTCTCAAAATTTTCTATATTTTCATAAATCTTTTTAAGCATTGACATTAATGTGTCGTTTCCAATAGAGGTGTGAACCTATACTGGTCTCACGGTTCGGTTACGATTATCATGCCATCGATTCGGTTCAATTCGATATTTCGGTGCATTAACGATGCTTTCCATATAGTGTTATATTTGCTATATACTGATTCTGCTGTAAGTGTCAGTGAAAGACTGTCCAAAAAACACACACACGCAGTGAAATTGTGCACAGTTTCTGCATTTTTAAGTAGTTGGTGCCTGGAGTTTTGTAAATACAGTACCTGCGCTCGCCTCCCTTGCGACAGAGCGCATATGAGATAAATGACGTGAGTACATAATATACGGTTATGATTATTACTGAACCGATACAGAATTGTCTGCGTCTGCATCGTGGTGCACCGAAGAAACAAATAATTTTGACACCCCTAGTGTTCAGTGAGTGGGACGGTTCGGAACGCTTTTATGGACGTTTCCACTGTCAAAAGGTACCTAAAAGCGAACCGTACCATACTACTTTTTGGGTACCCTTTGCAAAGGGTACCTAACATGACAAAAGGGTACCTACTGTAGCAAGACAAAAGGGTACCAAAAGGCAGAGAAAGACGCAACTGAACGCTATTAGTTTACAGAGATACGTCACTTGCTCATGCAACAAGCCAGGAGTATGAAAACAAAGGAACCGCCATTTTTAAAAACACAGCAGGCACATTACAACATAGCAATATAGACATATATAGTATTCAGATTTGAAATAACAAACTTCTTGAGCTGATGATAATAACGTGCTCGTGATTATTGAAGTGCTTCTAACATCCGATCCTTTCAGAAACAGACAAACGTGAGAGTTAAAAGTGAAAAAACTAAGGAGAAGCAGGAAAAAACAAAGGAGTGAATAATTCTTTCAGCCACCTAAAACATGAACAAACTGCCATGCTTACCTGTTATCATCACCTTTTGGACTATTATGAACTCAGAATAACGGAATTATTTTTCTATCAAGAGGTTACATGTGCTGGTGAAGATTAAAGATACAGAAGAGAGGTTTGGACCGACCGCGAGTTAACTTTCTGTCATACACCACTCCCACCAAAAAAATACCATTAGTACCTTTAAGCAGTGGAAACGCAAGCCTGATAAAGGTGACCTGTACCGTACAGTACCATACTCAGTGGAAATGGGCCATAATTTTGGATCAGTATTTCTGATTTGATTAAAAATATCTTCATGCTTCATATTGTAGTATTGGATTAAGAGCGAGTAAATTATATTTGATCTCTGACATAAAAAGAAGTCCTTATCCAATGGTTAAAATACAATCTGAATTATAATTTAAAAGTAAGAAAACTTTAGATCCTCACAGCATTTTTGTAGAAGAAGTAAAGGATCATGTTAGCAAGACGAGAGTAACACCAATGGCCATGAACCAAGAGCAGCTTCTGCAGATATCGAAACCGTGGCAGGGCGAAGTCACTGGCCATTACTGCCTATAAAAACAATGAGAACAGAAAAAGTGGAATAAAAGAAATGTTAATAAAATGTTAAACCAAATATCCAAATATCAAAACATAAACATTTCTCAACAAACAAAATGGACCTAAATAAATAAATAAACCAACTTAAAAGACCCTAAAAATAAAATAGATAAAAACATAAAAAATGAAAGACAAAAAAAAATTACAAACAAACAAATTAACTGTGGCCACTGTTAAAGATACACATATTTGATCAATTTTACGAAACTGTCCTCATGTGATTGACCAGCTGAGTTAAAACGTTCAATCCTATTCATATAAAATGTATTTTGATGACTTTGCCTTGAGCTCCAAGATCCATCATATAAGACACACAAACATGGCGGCACGTCAAACAAAAGATTACCATCAACCTAGTGACAAAACGCTTTTTTGCATAAAAAGAAAATTATGAAAAGCCTTTGTAGCAGCAGAATGTGGTGAAAACGATCCCCGTCCATCACCCATCTCTTCTTTACGATCGCTGCATGCGTCAGGCTGTTAACACGTCATCCATCAGTGGGACACATACTGCCTTGTCGCCTCTAATGGCATTTGGGATTTTAATCAGTTACTACTGGCCTGACAGCACCATCAGCCATGTTCTCCATTCTTGCTGTCATTCGCTCAACATCAAGAAAGCTTTCGTGAAATCATAAAAAAGCATGTGTGATCAGTTAAAGTGCCCCTATAAGGATTTCTAAAAGGGTCCTTATGTTGTTTTGTGTCTCATACAACAGCTTGACATGCATTCATTGGTCAAAATTATGTTACACATTTCAAATGACTTCTTTTTCAAAAATTCTCAAAAAAAAACTACTAATTTGAAGATTTCTTAAAAACTAGTGGTGTAACAATACACATTCAGCTGCTCAGTATGAGACTTTTGGTTTGGTACACATTACAAAGAATGACTTGCTGAGGTTATTTGGATAAAAGATATTTGTAAAATAAAAGAGCCAAAGGTTTGTGCAGTATAAGGATCTGAGTTCCATATAAAATGTGTTATTTCATTATATAACATATTATATAATTTTTTTTCATAAGGAGAGGAGGTTTGGGTATTATATCCTGCAAGGACATTTTTGCTCAATAATAACTAGATCATTGTTTACAGCTCACACTTATGATCTTGGTTATAATAAATACAATTTTTTAAAAATTCAAGTAAATTTAATTCTTTTTGCTGTAAAAACGTCCCACATTGTGACACTGCTGCTAATCAAACCAAAAAGTGTGTAGTGTGAAAAGTAACAAATTCAACAAACGAACCATCAAAATAAAGTGTGACCAAATAAATTTAAGTTACATTGCACCTACTGTACATGCCAACTAATTATTATTAGATTATAATTAGACTGTTGGGTTGGGGTTAGGGTTGGTGTAAGTTGACATGTACAGGTACTTGCGATGTTTCTAATAGTCAGTTATATGTCTGTTGAAGGAGAAGTGTCAACAGATATTAAGCAGACAGTCTACTAATACTCAAATGGACCATCAAAATAAATTGTTACCACTTATTCTAAACTCTGCCTTTTGGACAACCTACCCTAATTGCTCAGATGATCCAGTCTATTCTTATTGGTCTATCGCTTTCAGTATGTGTCAGAACAAAATCAGCAATCCCCAAATCTGACAGCATGATTCAGCATCGTAAACAATGTAGACAATTAGGATTTGAATTGAGTCTACTATATCGATTCAAGTTGTGTCTAATGTTGAAACACTGGAAGAACTAGTTGATAGTTTTACTCCTCCAACACAAGCGTGACATGTGTTTGACACATCTACCAGTACATTTTCTACAGGTAAATTGTTCATTATGAGATCTTTTGGTTGTACAAGTGGTATAGACAGAATTTCCACAAGACTTGATGTAAGAATCAAAGAATGTATACTTGAGCGCAAGAGTTTCATTAATGGGTGTAAGGGAATATGCTTGTTTGTATATGCATGACTGTTTCATAGACGCAAGAGATTTATATGTGCATGTGAACATTTCACAAGTCAGTATGCAGTTATTAGTGTTTCATATACAGTATGTGTGCAAGCAAATGGGTTTGTATTTATGCACGATCAACTTTACATATATAGTGTGCAAAGAAAATAACACAAACAGCTATTAAGTAGTGAACACATCCTGTTTTTCCTGGAAATATATTGGATTCAAGTCGGGTGATTGGCTGGGCCATTCTGCAGCTTGATTTTCTTTCTCTGAAAGCATTTGAGAGTTTCCTTGGCTGTATTTTAGATCTTTGTCTTGCTAAAATGTCCACCCTGGTTTCACCTTTATCATCCTGGAAATGTAGATGTTGGACTGAAGCAGCTAATATTAACTTACAATGACAAAGAGCAAAGGGTTGCTGAAGAACTACTGTAAGATTTCTGCTGCTGTCTGGGCTTTCACTGTGTTTCTACACCTCCCTTTCTTCATGTGTTCAATGATTTTTCGCTGGGTCACTTCATTTTTTTCCACATAACTTAATTTGTAAACTAATTAGATTTATTTTCTGTGCATATATGGTTTTCTTGCATTGTTACCAACATCCAGAAACAGTGACTTGTTCAATACTTATTTTCCTCGCTGTATCAGTCTGCATTTAACATTATTGCATGTAAGCTTTACCTATGTTTGTTTGAGCAATCTGTAGTCCACACTTATATTTGTATACTGAATGTATGCAAATAATTCAAGTATGCATGTGTTAGCCAAGTTTGATGTAAGCCTCATATGGGGTCTCATTGTTGCAAATTATCTAAAAAAATAGCAGTTCAGATCAATTAGATTAATTTCACATCTACAGAGGTTATAACAGGATTTTATTGTGAAAGTTGTGGCAAAAAATGTTTGCCTCAACAAAAAAATACAACTAAATCTGACAAACCTGTTCCAGTGTTTGAGGGCGAAGTCAGCCAAAAAGGAACATTATGCAAAAGTGTTACAGATCTACATAGACCAGAAACGAATAACTAAACTGTAATTTACTTATTATAGCATTTTTAGAATCGATTCCTTTAAAAATATCTTTATGATCTTTTGCAGGCATTTTACATTCACAAACAGCTATAATACACACTGCATGGAAGGTAATATTCAAATAAGCATACTATGGACACTTTAATGCTCTACCCGGTTAGGCACATAATGGTGCATGGGACAGATTCTCCATGAACAGATTCTAATTAGGGCTGTTAATACTAAACGCTGACCTCAAGAAGATCTCGGATAAGAAGGGCGCAGTGGGTCGTTACGTCTAGATCTTTGGCTGAATTAATTAATCTGCATGACACATGAGATGAGCTCATGGCTCTCGGGTCTCTGTCCTCAGCTCATCAGGATGTATATTCTGTAGGCTCGGCACTGAGACGAGGCGGAGAGAGGTTGGGTAAGTGACTCGAGGGTAAAATGGAGATTTTTTCTGAGAAACCAGAATGAGATGGGTTGTTCTTAAAGAAAGAAAATTGATGGGAGCTTTATATATGAACTGCAAATGCAGGCATACATCCCAAATCACTGTACAGTGCATTAAGGTCAATATATCAGAGGAAGAGCCAGTTTAAAGGGATAGTTCAATCAAAAATTAAATTTTTCATCTTGTAACTACTCTTGTTTCAAACCTTTATGAGTTTCTTTCTTCCATTGAACACGACAGAAGATATTTTGAAAAATAATAAAAACCTATAACAGAAGATTTGCATTGTATTTTTTTCCTACTATGGATCTCAATTAGGGGTGTAACGGATCACGGTTGATCCGTGATCTGTACGAATCACAATCCACAACCTGGAACACAAGTGACCCGCAGATTAATGACTTTTTTTAAACTTATAGGTTAATCCAACATTTATAACAATTACAGACAGATCACCTCCCACATCGTTCAATCATGTGTATTAAAGCATTTTGGCTTCCCTGTAAAATATAATGATGACAGAAAAAGTTGTGGTGGGGCCTAAATGCTTTCTTAGGCTATATTTTAAAGGTGTTTTCTGTCACTGTCTGTTTAGTCTGCATTAATCCATTCAGTGTAAAGCTGTACAATTAAACATTAAAAGATTGTGATCTCAATTCAAACCGACGCAACATGAATGATAATGATTTGCATATGTTTATTAATCCTTTGAAGCGCTGCATTCAAATCTGTGTTTGATCGATTTATTTTTTGCACTTCAGTTTTAGTACTGTGAAAACAGTTTATAGTTTAGATATAAACACTGATGTTTATGGTAAGGATTAAAATCACAGTTTAAAGGAACTTGATGCTGGTGTTATAGCAATTACATTCTGTAACCAATTGGTGGCGACAAACAACCATCAAAATGATGTCACTGAATGGGTTTTCAAAAAGATCCACCTATAATGAAACATGAAGTTTTATGTGTGAATTGTTAAAAAAAATTAATTGAAAATAAATATGATCTGTTGATCCTCGAAGATACTCTATTTCTATATTTAGCATTACCAGCAATAGTAGCAAAGATAATTTTTCGTATTGAATATTTTTCTTTTCTTCAGCTGGTTCTTTCTTAATTTTTTTAAAATTAAAAATACAATTTTTGATTGTTAAAACCAAAAAAACAACTGACATTCGTGTCCTCCTTTTTTGCCTTTTTTTGTCCGATCCGTGAGTCAAAAACTGTAGTGTTATCCGAACCATGAGATTTGTGATCCGTTACACCACTAATCTCAATGGTTACAGGTTTTCAGCTTTCTTTAAAATATCTTATTTTGTGTTCAACAGAAAAAAAAAACACTTATAAATGTGTGGAATCACTTGAGGGCGCGTAAATAGGGGGTAAATTTAAATTTTGAGGAAAATTATTCCTTTAATGAGGTGGTTGTACAAACAAGTGGATGTAAACTGGTTCAACTTAAACTGTATTTAACTATTTGTATATTGAATTATTATAACACAAAAGCATCAAAATCAAGCACTGAAATTGATGAACTCTGAACATAAGCATACACTTAAAATTAGGGATTATGCGGTAATGAGAATGATAATAACATTTTTATTAAAAACAAATAAATAAATAAGCCCTAATATTATTATTTTAGTAGGAGTGGTAGTAGTAAAACTTTATTGTTCTTGACAGGATATTTCTTATGGGAATTAAATTTTTTAAATTTAAATGTTAATTTGACACTAAAGACTGGAGTTATCATGCTGAAAACTCCATTAAACAAAACAGGAACTAATTATATTTTAAAATATAATACCAATTGAGTAACAGAGTATATACAGGAATCAGAGATTGAAATTCCATACCTGTTAAGTAATTTTTAAAGCCTCTTTGCAAACATTTTATAACCTCATCACCTTATTAGGTTTCAACCAGTAAAATTGACAACATTGTAACTTGCAGTATATTTACTAAACACTGATTGCAAAAAAATAATGCTAAAGTTAAACTGTATTGATAAACTGATTAAAAATGTTAAATCAACAGGTGGTATCTTAACAACAGCAAGAATAACAGTGTTTCCACGGTTACTGCAGTAAACAAAGCAGCATGATGTCAAATCAGTCAGATTTGTTTGATTTTATAAACTACAACCAAAGAGCATAGAATCACCAAGAGGCGACACTTTAGTCTGATTTGGGAAACAGCCACTAGATGGCGGGGTGGCCATTTTGGAGGAAAATTCCAATAGAACAACAGCATATTATAAGTCTGTAAAATAAACAATTTAAAGTGCTGATGATTGTGATAATAAGATTTGTATTGTCGTCTATCAAGTGCTATTTCAGCTTTAATGGGCTTTTTAAATAAATAAATAAAAACAAAGCAGCTGCTTGCCATCATGACAGCAATAAGATCCAAGAGACAGCTGATCGTTTTCGCTCCAAAATGGCGGAATCTGGGGCTGTTCCTGGGTGCTGCTGTTGCAATAGAACGTTCTATTGAGTGTCACCTCGTGGTCATAATAAGCTCTTGGCTACAACCCAATATTCAAAGATATTCAAGCCAACTTTAACATACTGATTTCAAATTTAATGTCTTGTAAAATAGCAATTAAGACATTTTAACACTTTTTAAGGGCCTTAAATTTCTCTAATTTAATTTAGCAATTTTTAATACTTTAAGACCCCATGGAATGTCCAGTAATATTAATAATTTTTTATATACTTATATATTTCTATTAAATAAATGCAGGCTTGGTGAGCACAAAATGCATCTTTCTTTAAAAACAACCCTAAATCTTAAATTACAATTGACTATTCCAGTCTAAAGAACTATATTCAAAACAGCCTGAAATAATCACATTCTTGTGTCAGCAGCACACATTTAACCCACACATTTTAGCCATTACAGCATGTGCATTTTTTTTATAGAAGGAAAAAACCTTGAAGATATATACCTTTCCTCATAAATATGATTAACTGCTTTTAATTCTTTGCATTGGGTTTGTTTCGCCCCCTGCTGACCCTCAAAGAGGAGATCTGCAAATCACAACTGGGTCGTGAACCACCAGTTGAGAACCACTGGCGTAAGGTACCATTTATCAGCTGTCTGAGTACAGACTGTTTCCATATCTTGGCCAAAACATCTTCATAAAACATGAATTATGTATTTCCAGTGTCTTGGCGCATTAACTCCGCAGTCCTGCATTGCAATGTTCATTTCTCATGTACTCCACACATAAGGTAAAAGGAAAAAGGTTGCCAAAAAAAAATCATTCATCAGCATGACTTCTTACCTGCATGCCCTCCTGTCCAGAGATCCCCACTCCCACATCAGCCACTTGGATCATGCTAACGTCATTGGCTCCGTCACCTAAAACGAAGGAGAAGACAAGACAAAAATAATTCAAGAAAGAAGGCTACAGGAGCAATCAACTGTGTTTCTCTTTGCACAATGTCAGGCTGCATTAATGCAAACATTGCATCAGAGGCAAAGTGCTCTGTCGGCAGAAAAAAACAACATAAATTAAACTCAAAAGAGCCCGGAAACAAGCTGTGGTTTCTGCAGTTACACTGCACATTAATGGGGTGACATGACTTTACATCAATGTCACCTTTCACACACCTATAAAGGCTGAAAAATGCTTACAAAGTCCAGTCACGCAGTAACTCAAGTATTCTGAGGCAAATTTTTCCTTCTATTCAGTTCAAATTTGTTGAATTCTGAGACACTAATATCTGTATATCGATGAAGTAGTTAGGAATCAGTTATAAAGTGTTGCCCATGATGTTTTAAAGAGCACAGCTTTTAATTAAGCACTATTTTAAAAAGGGTACCAGAACACAAACGAGTCCTGTTTGACAGCAAAACAGCTTTATGAACTTTATATTTATATTATATTAAGCAAGATTAAAAGGACAAATGAGTGTTTAATAGCAAGGTGTTTGATTTCAAATAATTTGGGTTTTAAAATAATGAACTAAAATGACACTACAAGGTTATGATAAATTAAATTTCAATAATAAAATGTAATATTTGGATAATAAACTGAGATTGAGGGTATGATGAGCAAATCAAAACACTGTGAAGGACTTAAAAAAATAAAAATGAAATAAAATACAACCCCTGGCAAAAAGTACGGACTCAGCACTGTTAGAAGACGTTCATTCAAATGTTTAATTGTATAGAAAAACAAACAAACGAACAAACGAACAAACAAACAAACATACATACATGCCATAAAACTATTTTCATTCAACAATCTAACCTTCTGGCTGTATGAAATACAAAAAAAGAAAAAAAAATTTAGTCAATTACAAGTTTTTACTGATTCAACAGAAGAAAAAAATATGGAATCACACAAATATGAGGGAAATTATATGGAATCATCATGTTCTTTTAAAACAAATAACTATCTGATTACAACCACTAATTAGTCTGCAGTTACAAAAAAAAAAAAAAAAAAAAAAAAAAGAGTGCTTGCACACCTTACTGAGGTGTTGAACCAAGCTGATTGACATAACTCATGGCTCCAACACGAGGGATGTTATTTAAAACAAAGGAGAGGATTATTAAAAGTCTCAAAGGTAAATCTTCATCGAATGTTGCAAAAGATGTTGGTTGTTTTCAGTCAGCTGTGTCTAAAATCTAGACTAAGTACAAATCAAATAGGAAGGTCGTAGAATTGAAGCATACTGGTAGATCTAGAAAGATGTCAAAGTGTCAAAACAGAAAGCTTAAAGCAAGATGCCTTCAAAACAGAAAATGCACAACAAAGCAAATGAGGAACAAATGGGCAGATAGTGGAGTCAATGTCTGTGACCAGACCGCAAGAAATCATCTAAAAGAAATGGGATTTACATGCAGAAAAGCCAAGCGAAAACCATCATTAACATGTAAACAGAAAAGAACAAGGTTTCAGTGGGCTAAAGAAAAACTGCTGGTGGAAATGAAAGAAACTGGTTCATGACAAGGCTCCAACCTGCAAAGCTGATCTGGCAACTGCAATAAGACAAAGTTGAAGACAGATTGATGAAAAATACTTTTAATCCATGCCTTAGATCAGGGGTCACCAATCTCGGTCCTGGAGGGCCGGTGTCCCTGCAGTGTTTAGCTCCAACTTGCCTCAACACACCTGCCTGGATGTTTCAAGTATACCTAGCAAGACCTTGTTTAGCTTGTTCAGGTGTGTTTGATTAGGGTTGGAACTAAAATGTGCAGGACAACGGCCCTCCAGGAACAAGTTTGGTGACCACTGCCTTAGATCATTCAAGCTGTTCTTAAAAGCCAGCGGTGGTACAACAAAGAACTAGTAGTTTATTTGGTGTTTTTTTTTTCTCAAGTATTTCATGGCATGTTTTGTAGCATGTATGTGATTGTTTTTTTCTACACAATTAAAGATTCAAATGAACATCTTTTAAGAGTGGTAATTCCATACCTTTTGCCAGGGGTTGTATAAAGCAAAATAAAATAATTCATTAATAAATAAAACAAATTTGGAAGTCTGTTTTTAAAAATAATAATAATACAGTTATTTTTAAAGTGTTTTAACTGTACCTTTTATAAAAATAACAATGTGATCTTTTAGAAAAATAAAATAAAACAAAACAAAATAATCAAGTGTGGAGAACTGTTGTAGTTTTGATAAGTTAAATCTAATTCTAAAAATAAGAATTCAATCTTTTTGAAATGTAAAAGCACTTACTGGACTACAAACTAAACTGACAACTGAGAAACTTCAGCATTGCGATAGACAGCGTCCACTTCGGTTGTTGAAAGAAGTTTATTTTGGACCATTTCATCTGCCTCGGGTGGTTTTTAAAATCATCTTCTGTTCCCTGAAGTGTAAGGCGTTGTGCTATACTTGACCCCGAGCGATCATCAAAAGCTGACGGCCAGGCTAAAAAGCCACTACGCTTTGAAGTGCGCAGAAAAGTAGCAGCCCGCTGAGACCGCCAGTTGCCTTTGTCCAAACTGAAACAAACAAACAGGGCAGCCAAATTCAACAAGACCACCTTTATTTGAAGTACACCAACAAAGCCAATGCGCTCAGCGTGAGAACCGGTACAATCTGCTGTGAACGTGTCTGTATGCCACAAATGTCCGTTCATTAAAGTAAAGTGGCGAGGAAGACAAGGCTGTAATGAAGTCTGTCCATTTCAAGGCAAAAAGAGTTTATTTACAGCCCTGCTGAGGGTCGTTTGAGCGCCGCCTCTCTCATTCTCAGCTAAAATGACAGTGTTAATGCGTTTAAAAACCTGCTCCTGGCTCTCCGTGAGGCATAAATGAATGAGGAAAATCTTGATTGAGGCGGCTGCATGACCTGAGGTGAACCCGCTCTCCTCCTGCAGGCAGGTGGATCAGTCTTTATGCACCTTGCATCTCCTTTTTTCTCTCTTTCCTTCTCTCTTTCCCTAAAGCCATCTGGGTAATTAGCCAAAGTGCTGCGTAGGCTTGTAAATGTGGCATTCTGCGCTGGGGAAAGGACAGACACGTGCTGTCCAGTCACCGCTGAAATGTTTACTTGGCAACACTGGAAACCATTAATCTCAGAATTTGACTTGCCCAGCAAAAAGTATGAAAAACAACAACAACAACAATAAAAAAAGAATAACCGGGCTATTACAGAGGCAGCTTTTCTACTGTTTTGTATGACTTGGCTCACTTTTTTCCACTGCAGTTTAACGCTGCTTTAAGTGGGTGTGATTATAGATGTATCATAATAGCTAGTGATACAGCATTTTAATTGTGCTTTAGAAATAAACAGAAACAGATTTCCTCTGTGGTACTTGAGCACGTACGCACAAGCACACTCTTCATACTAATTTTAGGCCTAACAAACTAAAAGACCTACAGTGTACAGTACAAAAAATAATTACATTTTAAATGTAATATTTTAATCAAATTCTCAGTGAATATAGACAATATATTGTGATGCAGTTTAACAAAGCAGTTTTATTCAACTGATTTAATCAATACAATTAAGTTTGGTCACACACATTTTCTGGAATAGAAAGATAAAACATTTCAATTCCAATTGCAAAAAATTGAACTAAAGTTTATTTGTATGGTTCTCGTGATTTTTAATAAAGTTGTATTTAATATTTTTATTTAATATTCACTAACATATTCATCGAAGTGTACACATTTTTGCATCACTATCTTAAGTTATTTTGTTAAATTAGTTCCAGTTTTGACTTTGATATTGACTAATCAAATATAAATACGCAAATTTATTATAGCAGCTGATAGAAACTATTATTTTAAAAGAAAGATATGGAAGGGGTGTATTCATTTAAGCTGAGACTATATAATGAAACATGAGCATGTGATCACTGTAATATGGACTGTTCTGCATGTTTTTGCTCAAGCGCTTGGTCTATTTAAAATATATCATGAATTACCAATGCTCAAAAAAAGAAACACTGAATGTTTGATCGTTGTTGGTAACAAAGGATTTTTTTCTGGCAAAAAAATGTCTTATGAGACTTTTTAAAAAGGCATTGATTATGACTCTCCTGAATAAAACATTTTCCAAGTTATATTACAAGCAGTCCAGTCCAGTAAAATATTCTTAATAGTACTTCAGTTTTTATTAAAATTGCACAATTAAGTCCTCAATGAATAATACAATGCCATGTACAGTTAGTTTCAAAAAGTTTGAGGTTGGTAGGATTTTCAAATGCTTTAAGAAGTTTCTTTCTTCCACAGCAAAGATACAGTTTAAAACAGAGTAATGCTTTGAACTGATATTATAACATTAAATCATACACTTACCGGCCATTTTATTAGGTACACCTGCCCAACTACTTGTTAACGCAAATTTCTAATCAGCCAATCATATGGCAGCAACTAAATACATTTAGGCATGTAGACATGGTCTAAACCAGGGGTGTCAAACTCTCCTTAGCTTGGAGGCCACATGGAGGAAAATCTATTCCTAAGTGGACCGGACTGGTCAAATCATGGTGTACTGTGTATATACAGTATAACTTAATAACAACAACTTCAGATAGTTTTCTTTGTTTTAATACGATCAACATAAAACACCATAAGCTGGAGCATGATGACAACACGATCTCATGGCAATTCAAAAAAAAAAAAAATGTTTTTCATTTGATCAAAACCTGATTTTGATTTAGTGGCTAATATGAATTTGTACAATCTCATTCGTAAAATTTAGTATGATTTGCTTATTCACAAATGACGGTTAGGTTTAAGGGGTGTGGTTGGGTGCCACGCCTCCTTTTTTATATTGTACATTTTCATACAACTGAACCCATACCAATTAGCAACTAAACTGACCAAACGTGAAATAGTTACATTTCCTTGTGAGAACACCTCAGTGTGGTATGACAGGGCATAGATATGGTCTTTCTGTCTGAGAAGGCTGTCAAACTGATGCTGATTCAGGCTTCTCGATTGGATGAAATTAACAGTTTACAGCAATTTCTTTTACTGAAAAATTGCAAATCATTTTTATACTTTCCAGAATCATTCCACGAGCCAGATTAAAATCATTTGCGGGTCTGATTCAGCCCGCGGGCTGTACATTTGACACCCCTTGTCTAGACGATCTGCTGCATTCCAAACCAAGCATCAGAATGGTGAAGAAAGGTGATTTAAATGACTTTGAACATGGCATGGTTTCAGAAACTACTGATCTACTGGGACTTTAATGCACAACTATTTTAAGGGTTTACAGAGAATGGTGCGAAAATATCCAGTGAGCGGCAGTTCTATAGACACAAATGCCTCGTTGATGCCAGAGGTCAGAGGAGAATGGCCAGACTGGTTCGAGCTGATAGAAAGGCAACAGTAACTCAAATAACCACTCGTTACAACTGAGGTATGCAGAAGAGCATCTCTGAATGCACAACATGTTGAACCTTGAGGTGGATGGACTACAGCAGCAGAAGACCACACCAGGTGCAACTCTTGTCAGCGAATAACTGGACATTGAGGCTACAATTCGCACAGGCTCACTAAAATTGGACAATAGAAGATTGGAAAAACGTTGCCTAGTCTGATGAGTCTTGATTTCTGTTGCGACATCCTGCCTTAAATCAATGGTTCAGTACATGGTAATTAGGGGTGTCAAAATTAATTGTTTCTTCGATGCACCGCGATGCAGACGCGGACAATTCGGTATCGGTTCAGTAATAATCATAACCGGTTATTACTGACGTCATTTACCTCATATGTGCTCTGTCGCGAGGGAGACGATCGCGAGTATTTACAACGCTCTAACTACTTAATACTCATGAACTGTGCACAATTTCACTGTGTGTGTGTTTGAGAATGAAAGTAGCATACTCCATTTCTCTCTCTATCTCTTTCTCTCTCTCGCTCGCTCGCTCTCGCGCTGTCTCTGTCTCTCTCTTTTTCTCACACGGTGGCCCATTTGACCTGCTGGCATGGCTTTTCTTCTCCTCTCGGCTGTTTTACAGTGTTACTTTTGGATACAGAAACGAGCGCGTATCTGCAGAGTTTTCTCCACCGTGTCTATTATAGATCAGCTGTGAGATCGCCCCTGCCGCTTTTCATTCATCTGAAGAGCGCAGCGCGAAAGAGCCAATCGCAACCGTTTTTGTTGAGGGTGTAACCAATCAAAGGGGTGTAAGAGAACTAGACAAGGATCAGAAATTGAGCTGGATATTTATATTTGTTTATATTATTTGCTAAATGCTCGTTTTTTTAAAGTTACAGTTTATATATCTGACTGTTTGTATTAAATGACACAATTGTATTACAAATAATAGCCTATATAAATATAAATATATTCATACATTTTAATACAAGAGCTGCTGCTGTGAAGAAAATATAAATGCATCGTCAATGCACCGTGATGCACCGAAATATCGAGTTAAACCGAATCGATGGCATGATAATCGTAACCGAACCGTGAGACTAGTGTAGGTTCACAGCTCTAATGTTAATAGTGGTGTAATGGTGTAGGGATATTTTTTTGGCACATTTTGGGCTCATTAGTATCCATTGAGCATCGTGTTAACGAGACAGCCTACCCGAGTATTGTTGCTGACAACAGTATATGCATCTTCTGATGGCTACTTCCAGCAGGATAAGGTGCCATGTCATAAAGCACAAATCATCTCAGACTGGTTTCTTAAACATAAAATAAAGCACATTTGGGATGTGGTAGAATGGGAGATTCGCATCATCATATTTACCAAACAAATCTGCAGCAACTGTGGGATGCTATCATGTCAATATAAATCAAAATCTCTGAGGAATATTTCCAGTACCTTGTTGAATCTATGAAACAAAGTATTAAGCCAGTTCTGAAGGCAAAAAGGGGTCCAACCCAGTACTAGTAAAGTGTACCTAATAAAGTGTCTGGTAAGTATAGAAATCCTTCTGTCCAATATAATAAAAAAAAATAAAAAAAATTTCATTACTACTAAATGTCAACAACATTTGTGGAATCCTATTTTCTTTTTAGGAGAGAGCGTTTACTAAAGATTTTTTTCCCACATTTTATAAATGTTTTTACTGTCACTTTTGATCGATGTAATGCACCTTTGCTCAATGAAAGCATTCATTTCTTTAAAAAAAATATTTCCATTAATTTTATGATGTCAGTCCTTATAAATAAGCTAATAAACCAGTCCTCTTGCGAAGAAAAATAACATATTTTTCTTCACACAGGCTACTTAAAAGTGCTTTCTGGAGCTTTCAAGGCTTCAGTCTCTGTTTATTTTACATAACAGGATGAAATTGAGCAAAGAAACAATTTCTGGTCTTAGAAAAAACCTGATGGCAAGCAAATAAGGCCATCTTCAATTTTGGGAGAGCTATTCCTTTAGAATCACCAGCATTAGTGAAACTCAATGGGGTTCATTTGTGTGTATAGTCTTAGATTGCAGTTGTGTGATGGTTATGACCACTGAGGGCCCATCAGCTGCAAATTGAACCTTAAAGACTCTGTTCTATTTCATAAAGAAAAAAAAAACACACCATAAAGCTTGAGATTAAACATTTAAAACAAAAACCAGATTCAATCCGATCCTCCACTTACCTATTGCCAGCGTCATGACCTTGAGCTTGTTGCGCACTAGCTTGACCACCATGCTCTTCTGCAAGGGCGTCGAGCGGCAGCACAGGACAGACCTGCAGCTCCGGGCCACAGCCAGAAACTTATCCTCCAAACTCTTGTCCAGTGCATAGGCCAAGGTGCGACCATCGATCACAAGGCCGAGCCGGTGCACCAGGAAGGGGCCGGAGTGGCCGGAGGAGGTCGGAGAACACACAGGAGAAGAGAAATGGATGCCAGCGTAGTCTCCTGCTGCTTGAGGACCTGCTCGAGGGTCGCAGAGAAACTTTGCCTGGATATAGTGCAGACTGTTCTCCAGCAACCTAGCACAGGCCTCCTGGTAAAATCCACATTCAGACACAGAGAAAAAAATAATAATCAGGAAGGTCATGAAAGGACACAATGAATGTTTTATGAGGATTCAATAACAACATCTTTCCAAAAAAAGATGACTCGGCTAAATACTCGGGTAATAAACTAAACAGACCATAATGACATAGTAAATTATGTAAAATATTTGTTGTAACAAATTACTGGATCCTCCAGCCAAAAATGAAAACGTTATCATTTAAGTCCTCCTGATGTCACATTTCTTAAAATATTTTATTTTTGTTTTAAGTTTAGTTTCAAACTTTTGCTTTGAAGGTCTCCCACAAAAAAATTGACATGCACACAAACTAAAAACAAACAAAATTGTGTTTTGTTAGTCTTAAGAATATCTATAACAGGGTTTCTGCAGGTCTCATAAAGTCAAATTTAAACTTTTAAAGAACCTTTAAAAACCATTATTAATAAAAGACTGATATGGGGCTCATCACTTATGACTTCGATATTTCTTTATAATGGAAAAGAAAATGTTTTTACCATTTAAATGTTTTTTAAAAACTTCTAATTTAATTATTAATAAAGTGTCAAAACAAGCAAACACTGGTTTTATAGTTGCACTTTAACATATTTCTTAAAAACAAAGTTAAATATAAGCGCAGCTCTCTGTCCAGTTCAGTGTCCTCACCATAAACTAATGGAGAAGTTTTAAACAAATGCTATTAAGGAGTTAGTCAGGAAATAAACAGATTACACTGGTAAAAAAAAGTTAAAAATGCAGCTATTTGTTAAAAGTTTTATTAAGATGGATTGCTGGGGATTGGATGATTTCGGCCTGAATAAGTAGCTTTTTATATACATAAGAAAAGTAGGATCCATTTAAAATGATTCAAGACATAAAACACAATATTTTGGCAAATTTAAGCCTAAAATTTTGTTTAAGCAATTTAAGACATTTTAAGACTGCGTACAGCCGGGATAGTCTGCAATGACATAATTTGCAATAAGAAGATATTGAAGAAACATCCAAAGCTTGCAGTTTGTCACTTCCATCTAAACCAGGGATGTCAAACTAAATTCCTGGAGGGCTGCAGCTCTGCACAGTTTAGTTCCAACCCTGCTCCAACACACTTACCTGTAGGTTTCAAACAAGCCTGAAGGACTCAATTAGTGTGATAAGGTGTGTTTAATTAGGGTTGGAACTAAACTGTGCAGGCCCGCGGCCCTCCAGGAATGGAGTTTGACATCCCTGACCAAAAGGGACCAATGTTTTTCTTTTGAAATCACATCATATTTCACTCTCCTCAAATCTTCTGACCAATCAAAAGTTCTCTAGTATCAGACATGTCCAGCCCCCTCCAATATGATATTGCTATATGCAGTTGAGCTCAACCACTCTCACCGTCAGAGCTGTGCTAAAAACGAAACATGAATGGAGGATTGTTTTTACCATATCAGTTTGAGCCAACATGTGACATACGTGTAAAAAAAATTATTTCACCGCTTCATATGCACGAGGGAATTATTATTTTTTTGATGGTGGCGATTGAATGAAGAGCAATGGCATTTTAATTGTGGTACACTTTAAGCTCTGAAACTATGCAAACCCTTCAACTTCACAAAGAGCAATATTACACACTGCATGAAAATATCTTGTGTGTTCCACAGAAGAATGAGTGTCATACAGGTTTGTAATGACGTGAGACTGAGTAAATGACAATTTTCATTTTTGCTTGAATCATCATTGTAAGCAAGGAAACAGTTATGATTAATCCTGCGAGTCAGTGATTAAAACATTCCTGTATGACAGTTCTTTGCTCGTGTGTTTTTCAAAACAAAACTCATGCGGATGGTTCATGTGTTCTCTGAGGAGACAATGAAACATAACGAGAGCTCATTCAAGTCCGTCCAACTGTTCTGTGAAGGAAACATCTACAGTCTAATAAAGGACAACGTCATGCAGGGAATGTGGTTTGGTATATGGGTGTTTTTTCAACTATAGACACTTTTGTATAATAGAATAATTAGTCTGCATAAAATAAAAGGCATGTTTTAACCATCCCTTTTGTAAAGTAAATACAAGTTTGTTAATCTGGAATAAATTGGAGTGCTGTCATTTTGTAAATATTACAAAAAAAAAAAAAAAGAATAAATGTGCTCATTTTAAAATCACATGTTTTAATATAGAATTATAGAAAAAAAAAGTTTAGATTGTGGCAAACTAAAGATTTTGTAATTCTAAATCTTAAGTTGTAAAAAAACAGAACTAAAAAGGAAGTAAAAACTGCAACCAAAAGTGGACTTGGGAAATTGGGAGTCATGTATTCCTACAGTTTTAATATTATACATTAAAAAGTACTGGTGATAGTCATATAACAGTCCTGCCTTGACATTTATCATCTTAATGCAAAAAATATCTCTATTTTTAACCAATAAATAAGCTTAAACCAAACATACACACAGAAGAGAAATGGTAATATTAGTAATAAATAAATAAATAAATGTATGTATGTATGTATGTATGTATGTATGTATGTATGTATGTATGTATGTATGTATGTATGTATGTATGTATGTATGTATATATATATATATATATATATATATATATATATATATATATATATATATATATATATATATATATATATATATATATATATATATATATATATATACATATAATTAAAATAATTAAATAAATATCCCTCTTGAGACATTACAGTGCCCATACTGGAGAAAACACCCACTGATAAGTGAGGGGGGCTTGGGGGTGGTACAATAGTGGGAGAAATGAAACTACAGTTTGTGTTTCAACTGGCACAAACGGCTCTATGTTAGAAGCAATACCTTCACACATTTTTCTCATTCCTGGTTGCAAAAAGCAAAAACAGAATAATAATCAAATCAGAGAATGAATAATTAAACACACGATCAAACAGAAAGGACTTCTAAGATATGTTGTAATAGAATTATGTAGAAACAGGCTTTTAACTCCTTGTAAAAAGTGATATTTAAAGGTGCAATAGGAGATCTTTGAAAAAGCTGTTAGCCTGATAGCACTGAAAGCCTACATGAAAGTGCAAATCACTATCCAAAGCCACGACTCCTGAACGCATAAACAACATCACCACAACACATCACATAACATTCACCAAAAGGAAAACTTTATAGTACTGTTAATAATTACAATTTAAACCTTAAAAAGGTTAGTTTGTTTATGTTTGCCAACCATTCTCTGTCTGAACTGCATCTGTGAACGCAGCGATGACATAACCCTTGATGTGCCATTAGTTATTTTGACAGACAGGTAGGACAGCCCATTGTAATGTTCAGACTGAAGGTTTTCAAAGAATTTTTAAATACATATAAATACACTTATATAAATAACAGGATGTGAAAAGACATTCAACCAGCATTACAAAAATTGTTTCTGAAGACAATTCCCTTATTGCACCTTTAACATATTTCAAACCCTCTAGTCCAGGAGTGCCCAAACTTTTTCATATAAAGGACCAAAAACCAAATATCATTATAAGCCATGGGACGAAGGTAAATATACCGAATTATATTAAAGTTGCCATGGGTCATTTCCTTATTTATTTCATAATCTTTAAAATATATAATAAAAAACATTACTAATCTAATTAACCAATCCAGTATAACTTTTTAAAATGAAAACATAACATTGGAGTACAATGCTGAATACACTAGTCAAGCAGAATCTTTGCCTTGATTTGCTCAAAGTCTCTATATTGTAATCTATCCATAAGGTAATGTCCTAAATCTAATTAATTTAGAATATTTATTTGAAACATTTGCTGTCAATTAGCTTTTAACAGAAAAAAACAGAAAAAACCTAAAGACAGTTCCTAAAAATATCTCTAAACAGTCCACACCTTACTTCTCTTCTTAGATGAGATGGCAGGCCGAATCAAAGATTACTGTGGGCCTAGTTTGGGCATCTCTGCTCTAATTGTAGGCAGAATTATTAAGAGTAGTCTTGAGTATATAAAGTGCTTTATATATTTACATATTTTTTTTTAAAGAATGCATATATGAAACATTTTCTTTATAGTTTTGGAAATTCTGAGGAATTGCCTAAAAAAAATTACTTTTAAGGACTTTGATTCGGAATCTGACTGAAGGATTAACTACAGAAATAAATCAATCATTTATCAAAACTAATTTGTTCAGCACACAAAGGTAGCAGTGATGTGATAGAGACTGCAGCAGTGCATGCTGGGTATACCTGCGAGTCAGCATTAAGAGTGATGATCTCCTCCTCTGGGTCCAGCAGTTTGCAAGCGTAGGCAATGTTGATGGCAGTCTCTTGTTTATCTCCTGTTAGCACCCAGATCTGAAGACCGGCTTTCCTCAGAGAGGCGATGGTCTCGGGGACCCCATCTTGAAGTCTGTCCTCAATACCAGTTGCTCCTATACAAAAAGACAGAAAGAAAGATTTACTTGTTACTTTACCTAAAAAAGTGAGTAAATTTGTTGCCTAAAGTTTTTTTTCTTCACTTTTTTCACACAATTCCCACATTTTTCTTAAAAACATAAACAAACACATATTACATAATTCTGACTCTTGAAAAACAAAAACAAATATATATATATATATATATATATATATATATAGTGGGGGAAAAACGTTTTGAAAACGTCATGTTTTTTTGTGGGAACAATACTAATATTACTTACAGATGTAAATTACCTTTATAGCTAACTCTGGTACAACATGTCATGTTGTACATTGTCCCTGTATAAATAAATAAAATAACTGAATACTTCTAAAGAAGCTGCTGGAGTTAAGCTAGATTTTGGTAAAAGCCCAAACAATAAAAACATAAAAATAAAACTAAAAAGTACTGAACCACTGAAATGTATTTAATACTTTAAATAAAAGGTTTTTGTGGTGATGGCAGCTTAAAGACACCTCAGGGGTGTAAAAGAGTGTACAAATTTTGATAATTCTGTGGCTCCTGTCTATCAAATCTGATATTTACTTTGTATTTTCTATTGGATTTAATTCAGGTAATTGGCTGGGCCATTCTACAGCTTGATTTTCTTTCTCTGAAACTTACTCTCTCTGCTTGAGATTTTCCTTGGCAGTGTTTCGGATCATTGTCTTACTGTAATGTCCACTCTGGTTTTCTCTCCATCTTCTTGATAATGTAGATGTTGGACTGAAGCACCTGATATTAATTTACAATGACAAAGGGCAGAAATTTCGGGTTGCTGAATAACTACTGAGAGATTTCGGCTGCAGTCAGGACTTTCACTTATTTTCTACGCCTCTCTTTCTTTATGTGCTCATACTTTTCCCTTGGGTAATTTCATTTTAGCACACATAACTTCATTTTTAAACTAACTCGGTTTTTTCTTTGCATATATGTATTTCCTTTGGTTATTCTAAACATTCAGTGAAAATTTCAAATCAATGGCATCTTTAGAAATATGTTTTCTGTGATGTGTTCAATAGTTGGGTCGAGGCAAACAACACACTTTTTTATGCCTCAAAGTTGGAATGAAATCGTAATTTATTATTTTTATTTTTTTTATTTGTATATAGTAGTGCTTGCTATAAATGATGTATCTGTTCCCTTTATTATTTTGTAAAAACTCATTGCCCTCAGAATTGCCCTTTAATCAAATATCATAACCTTCTTTCCCCCTCGAAATGACTTTTCTTCACTTCTGGTAACATGGAATGCCTTTGGGAAAGGGCTATCAAGGGCTTTTTCTGCTCTGCCTTCATTCATCAATCTTTCTTCATTTTGTTAGCAACACCCATCTTTCAACAATCTAATCAGTTTGTATAGAACGAAATCAAGTACAGTCCTTTAATTTCTCATTTCAAATGGATGCGTCATGATACAGGAAAGAATGACAATCTTATCCTTCGTTTTATGGCAAATTAAAAATTAGGTGATCAAAAAGTTGATGATCTCTGCCACATTTCTAGTAAAGGGAAATGCATTTACAGCTTTTGCTTCAGCAATGCCTTTTAAAACCAGTTTAAACTCCTAATCCTAATGGTTAATGGTCAGATAGCACAAAGCTGTATGTGTGTGAAGAAATGGCATGTGTATCATTATATTAGATCTGTGAAACAATCTCTTTTACATGAGGACACCACGCCATTAACACAACTAAACCCGATCTCGTCCCCTAGGGTGGGAATCACTTAATTTCAGCATAAATTGAGGTGTACATTTACGGAAGAAAACTCAATTGAGGGAGTTTAGAAACAGGGCTGGCTGATACAGAGAACTCGTCCATATGTAATTCTACAGATATTTTTCATGTTCAAACACAACATTATCATGCAAAAAAGTATGTTAAAAAGGCATATCATGAGCCCTTTAACAGCAGGTGAAAACAAGTTCTTCAATAGACGATTGCTTCAGGGACTATTATTACCCAAAAGTTGGAGGTTGGTTTCAAGTCGTAACGCAGACTCAAATAGCAGCTCCTCTCTCCTCTGTATGGCTGTTTCTGCCTCCAGGTGGCGCTGTAACCAACTAGCATACTCCTCCTTACTGAGCACCTGGAGGAAAAAACAACAACCATATCACGGGTTAGTAGGGCTACACAACATATCGTTTAAGCTTTGAAATCGCAATGTGTGCATCCGCAACAGTCACATCGCAAACTACACTGAAAAAAAAAAAAACATTCAGAGATGATTCATTGGATTTACAATTTTTTTAAAGTGGCTATAAACAATTAATTTGGGTTGAATTGAAACAAACTAATTAAGTTAAACTTTACTAAATTTAATGTGTTTGTTTAAATTCAACAAATTTTTTACATTGTTTTTCAGTGTATGCAATGTTGAGTCTGGATTATAGTTGATCAAGAGCCACAAAACAGTAGTCACAGCTCAGATTAACCATAATAGAGTGATGGTTTATCATTTGCATTTGTTTTTAATGCCTGTGAATGAGCAGTTCAAGAGAGTTTAGATAACAAAGATTTATTGCATTTAATTATTTATACAAAATATATATGATTTAAACTGTTAAAAAAAATCTAAATAAAAAAAAAACTCTAGTTTCAAGCCCTAATAAATCCAAGAACTTTTAGTTATTTGGATTATACAAACAAGACAAAGTAAGCATTTTCTGCATTATTATTATTTAATTTCTGTATCTGAATACTTGCCCTGAAAATTATCAAATAATGATTTTCAAAGCATCTTGTGAAACTGTATTCATATCACAATATTTATCGCAGAATAATAAAATTGTGCAATATCAACATTTTCTAATTTAGTGCAGACCAACTGGTCAATGCTGGGTAACTCAGATTCTGATCGTATAATGTAGATTACGATCTTGTTAGCATATATTATTACATATTTAAATACCTAATCAGATTTCAATTGCTGTACCTAATCAGACAAAAGTAAATGTATTGACTACGAGTGTTATTTTAATTAACATTATTTATATTTCTTTTATTTTTCCATGACTGAATGTTATCTTTTTTAGCTTACTAACCTTCTACAGTTCCTTCACATCCACCAGTTTTTGTGCCTTTAGTAATTCAATGCTTTGCTTAATCCATTTCAAGTTGTCGATAACAAATGGATTCTCTTTCATTGTATTTTATATCAATATGCTACAAAATTAAATCAAATCAAATCTGTGTGATGAGCAAATTAGGTCAAAAGCCATCTACACTACCAGTCAAACGTTTGGGGTCAGTACGATTTTTTAAATGTAAAAAAAAAAAATAAATAAATAAATAAATAATAATAATAATAATAATAATAATAATAATTATATATATATATATATATATATATATATATATATATATATATATATATATATATATATATATATATATATATATATATATATATAGATATATCCTGCTGCATTTCTTTAATCACAAATACAGTACAAATTGTAAAATTGTGAAAGTTTCTGCACTGTAAAAAACTGTTCAAAAGTAGTTTATAATTTAATTTTCTAATTTTCTCCAGTTGTCAGTCACATGTTCCTTCGGAAATCCCTCTAAAATTACTTAGAATTATTATTATTATTATTATTATTATTAATGGTAATAGTAATAAAAATAATAATGACTGGAGTAATAATTTTATTTGAAACTACATACAATAAGCATTTATTTAAAATTGTAATAAATATTTAACAGTTTAACTTTTTTTTTTTTTTTTACATTTAATAAATGCGCCTAGAAGAACAGAATTATTTTCTATTAAAACAACATGAAAAAAAATTGACACCAAACGTTTGACCGGTAGTGTAAATCAATCAAAAACATCTTAAATGCTTTAGTCAAGATTACGTAACTAGCCACAATTTAGTCATGTAAAAAGGAAATATTCTCAGAAATCTACTCATCACTGAGATGATAACACAGAGGGTGTCATACTGTGGTACTTTTAAGAAGAAGAAAAAAAAAAAGAAAATAGCAGAAAGATGTGAGAAAAGCAAAGAAGAGGAAAAACACAAGTTATTCTGGTTGCTGGCTTAAAAAAACAAAAACGGGTGGAGAAAACAAAACTAACACAATAAAAGGCTTGTTAAACTTTAAGGAGCTCCATTTATGTATGAATTCACACTTAATTGTGTGAAAAATAATTGTATCCAAGCTGTTTAAAGCTTTCCTTCTGTTAAGGTGACTTTAGCTACAGAGGCAGTCAAGTGAGCCAAAAACAAGAATAAATAAATAAAAAAACATATATGAAGCATTAGATAAGAGCTAGAACTTATTGAATGATTAAAATAAATAAATAAATAATAGTAAGGGCGTCATGGTGGGGCAGTGGGTAGCACAGCAAGAAGGTGGTTCAAGCCCCAGCTGGGTCAGTTGGTATTTCTGTGTGGAGTCTGCATGTTCTCCCTGTGTTGGCGTGGGTTTCCTCCGGGTGCTCTGGTTTCCCCCCACAAGTCCAAAGACATGCAGAACAAGTGAATTGAATAAGCTAAATTGGCCGTAGTGTTTGTATGTGAATTCAGGAGTGTATGGGTGTTTCCCAGTGTTTGGTTGTGGCTGAAAGAGCTTCCGCTGTGTAAAACATATGCTGGATATGTTGGCGGTTCATTCCGCTGTGGCGACCCCTGATCAATAAAGAAACTAAGTCGAAAAGAAAATGAATAAATGAAATCAAAGTAAACTTTTTTTTTCTTTTGTGCAAAATCTTATCACATCATATGGCACTTAGACTAACACATGCAGCTCAGAACACGGAGTTATAAAGAGTGAGAGCATATATTACTATCCATAAGATATGGAGAGAGAAGGAGAGATGAGAAAGACGAACAGAGAGTGAGAAAGAAGCTTGTTGATCTGTCACACAGATCAGCACACTGGGAAAAAGCTCACATACTTGTAAACCATCTGTGCAAAAACACTTTTCTCAAGGCAAACACTTTGTTTTTTTGGTGCAGTAAGATAAACCCAAAAGTGGCAATGTGAAAACAAAAATTAGAGCTGGTAAACTACACAAAATTAAGTCATTACTTACACAGTAACAAACTCTGTTTCCTTAGATTTACCGGATTTAATAGGCACCAATTTGAGTAAAATGACAATATTTGTTTTTATTCTACACAAGTTTGAGGACGTATTTTCTAAATTACAAATAATATAATATAATATAATATAATATAATATAATATAATATAATACAATATAATATAATAAAATATAATATAATAAAATATAATAATATAATATAATATAATATAAAATGCAGCTTTTTATTGTATTTTTTATTTCACAAAAAAAAAAAAAAAAAAAAAAAGTTACATTTTTTTGACCTTACACAAAAATATGCAAATATCTAATTGTTACCTTTTTAGCGATACAGAGTGTCCTCAGACCATCTGCAGCATACAAATTTAAGTAGTTTTGGGTTTTATACAAGATTTTCCTTTGCCGCTTTCCTTTGCAATCATCTGCAATACAAAAACATAAACAAAAAAACATTAGACAATCCATCAAAATCTTTTAAACTAACATTACACACACATAGTGAGACAAACACACAGAGCAAAGCATGAACTAATCACTCTTCCAGGTTGGTTCTCTATGCTGCCGGTGTCATCTTCAACAAGGCCATTAGGTTTAATCAAGACGGTGGAGTGTTTTGACAGGTTGACTGGATAATCTGGCTACGGAGCGATTTGAGGTTTATCGCTCCTGTGTTATTGCTCGCTGCATTGCTTCCTGGCAGGAAAAGCAGAACAAACTGTTTGGGATGATCACTTCCCAACATGGAGGACTATCAGCCAAGACGAGGGGGCGAATGTGCCAAACCTCACATTTTCACTGAATGATTCATCACCACCCCTGCAAATGTGGGACGACTGGACCTGCTTTTCCAAAGACTGATGCACAGTCTCAGGTATTTAATGCTTTTAAAAATCGTGTAGGTTTATTAAATGCCCATATCATGCTCTGACATCACTCTCAAAACAGAAACAATCATCGTTGATCTAGTATTTAGAGGTGAAGTGTGTGATTTTAAACTTCTAGCAATAGAAATGTAGTGGTGAACACAGTGTGGGATGACCCATGAATCTTTTAGTATGTCAATGAGAGCTAAATTAAATTGAAAAAGAACATTTCAGCTCGATTATGATTAATGAACGATTTTTATATATATTTTAATGCCCTTATAGTTTACTGACAGGTTTTGTACAGTAAATATGCTCACAATATTACAATTGACAAATTTTTCAATAAAGGGTGCACTACTTGATTTTAAAATAACTTAAGGAAACACACACTACTACTATCTATGATTATTCATTGAACATTACCAGTGAAAAACTGAATTTAAATAAAAAAAAATAACTTTCGGAAACAAAATAAATTATTTTCAAATTTTTTTTACATTAAAAGTGCAACAACTTTAATCACATAGTAAACACAAAACCAAAGTCTCCATCTGGAGCTTCTCCATGGGACTCGGCACTTTTAAACACTCGCTCTATCGGAATTGTCGCTCTCCAACGGCTCTCAGCACCACCCACAATCATCACAACTACCAATCACACAGCTTGCTCTACGTGTTGTCATGAAGTGTAGTTACATTTTTGGAGTGGTGCGCGTGAATGTGACCGCACGAAGGCTGTGCCACACAGTATGCGTGCACTTGACGCAGAAGTATAAATCAGTCTTAACATAACAGGGTCTCATGACTCCACACGTAGGGAAAGTAATGGGAAAAAATTCCTTGAAAAAATGGATCGATTGTAAGTTATGAATGTCGATTTCGATTACTATTTGATTAATCGCTCATCCATAGTTATTGATGACTATGTTTCCTAAATAATCTGACAGACTAATGTTGGATCAAACAGGCAAGTCCTGTCTCAAAACTGAACGCCAAGCAGAACTAAAAATGAAGCGACAAACACAAAGCAACAAAACCTAAAAAAGGAACGAAAGAGCTAACAAACAACCAAACCAACCAACCAAAGCATAACAAAACATGAAAAGCAAACCAAAACTAAAAAACAAACTAAATAAATAAAAAACTAAATCAAAACCCAAAAACAAACTTTTCTAAATAAAAAAAAAAATGCCTGAAAATAAACACCAACAAAATGGAAATAAGTGGTTGCACTTTAAAATAAGCTTCAGTAAATGTATTTACTAACGTAACCATGAACAACACTTGCACAACATTTATTAATCATAGATCAATATTTAATAATCATTAAAATAAAATTGTGCTAGTTAACAATTAAAAGTTAATGCTATGCGAGTTAACGAGAACTAACAACGAATGACTTTTTCACTACCTAACATTAACATAGATTAATAAACGCTGCAATCAATGTATTGTTCATGTTAGTAAATATATTAACTACAATTATCTACCTTTCTGTAAAAAAAGAAACAAACCCAAACCAAAAACAAGTAAATAAATAAAACATAAGTAAAACCCCAAAGTATAATTAAATAAACAAACACAATAACAAACCAACTATACAAAAAACAAATGTAAAACAAATGCAGAATGTAATAACTAAAAACAACTCATGCCAACAAATCAAAAACCAATTCAATTCTAAAAAAAAAAACAACAACAAATCAATTCTAAGCCAAAAGGAAAGCCTACAAACCAACAAAAGTCTAGACATTGGTGTAAAGGTCGATTGTACAACATTAATTAAGGTTTAGAAATTTACCCAGAGGCGCGGCTGGTCGGCTACTGACCAAATACAAAAATTACGCACAAGTTTTACATTACTGAAAAACGGAAATGACTGCCATTCCCTCAAGCAAAACACAATGTCCCTTCCAACATTTGGAGCAACCCAAGAACATTTTTGTCCTTCATTTTTACATGTTACATAATAACTGGAAACACGCAGGTACAGTTTTTCCAGGCTCAAGTCTATTTTTCCAAGTTTGGTCAAGACAGCTTCAGAGAAACTACAACTTCAATGTAACTACAGTTTATTGGTCAAAGACTGAAAACTGGCTATTTTGTGCATTGTGCCATTAGACAAGCATGGCAAACGTCCCACATGCTTCTGAAAGAGGCTATTGTACCTTCAGTTGGTCTGCTTTGCTAATGGAAAGCCCACACCCATAGGTGAACAGCGACTCTGGATCCAAAAGTACAGAAATAAACACTGAGCATGTGTGTCTGTGTGCACGTAACAGCCTGCAGTCTGAAGCGAAGCACAGCATGGGTGTGTATTTGCAGCATCATGTTAACATCATTGCATAGGCTGAACACCAATAAACCTAGAGTCTCTTTAAATATATTTCCAGACTGCCAAAAAAACATGGAGGAAAGAGGACATTATACAACTAATGGCAATGATGCAAGAAATACTTATGGTCCATAACAGCCAGAACAGCCAAAAAGAAAAAAGAAAAAAAGAAAAAGCCCTTCAAAAGATTAATCTTAATTTAATTCTATAGGGCAGGGTATTAAACAGCGAAAAACCTAATAATGTACCTATGACATGAGGGAAAAAAAGTTACAAGTTGTATTGGGAGTAAAAGTAAAGATGTCTTACTGTATTGCATACCCATCAACCCTTCTGTCTTTCCCGGGATTGTCCCATATTTTACAATTCTATCCTGCTATCATCCATAAAGGTATTTACCTGTATTTTTAATCTTTCTGTAAAGGGTGGCAATAAACATTGAAAAGCTGATCCTCCCTATTCGCAAAACATATCCCGAATTACCAGGGGTCACCCCTTGCTCTTAAATGTGAATCTGTCTTGTGCTTTCATTTTATTTAGGCATCAGAACACCTTGAAATAAATATATTGACGGATTCCCTTCATTTGCATTTTAGGGGCGGTCACCACTTCTATGCAATCCTCAAAACAGTCAGTTCATGTAGCGGTGTGTGACTGTCACACAGAGTCTGGTAGGTTTTCTTTTAAAAACACAGCTAATTTAGTCTTAAATGAGCATAAAATTTTTTGCAAAGCAATTGAATGCTTTTATTATAGATCTGTGCATTTTTAAAGTGACACCACCAAGAGGTTAAGTAATTTGGGGATTTAAAAAAATATATATATTTTCACATCCCAATGTTGACAGGTAAGCTGTATTGTGATTGTCTTATTAGCAAAAAAAAAAGTTTTTTAAGGATGTTTATATGATTCGTTTATCTTCAAAACACAAATTAAGATATTTTAGATGAAATCCAAGAGCTCTCTGATCTTATGTAGACAGAAATGGTCCCAATACATCTAGAGTCCAGAAAAGAAAACATTAATGCTGTCAAAACAACAATTTTAAAGGAAAAATTTTAAATAATGATGCAAAAACAACTTTAAAAGACGTGAGAATAAAGCAGAGTTTCCATCCAATGACTCAAAGAGAACAAAATAGTCACTTCTTGATTAACTGGCACCAAATATCAACAATAAAGATGGATTTTGCTGCGATATGAGAAGCTGCAGGAATCTTTTAATTATTTAATAGATGACTTGCGTTTCAGAAGACGATGCTGATCCGCAATGAAAACGTGGTGACGTGGTGACGTGGTGACGCGGAACACATACGCTCTTGACAGTTTTGGAGGCAATTAATGATATAACACTAATACTGAAATGGTTAAAGCGTTTTACAATGACCAAAACAACATTTCAGATGTTTTACAATGTGCTCAGCCTGCTGGTTTATCATTTCACACACATTTTTATCATCACATGATCTCTTACAACAATAATCACATGACCTTTTTTAACGCACATACTGGAATTTGTTTGGTAAAAGTGTTTCCATCGCAGTTTATGCACATCTTTTCTTATCAAATAAAAAAAGTTTATCCTACTCAGTTATGCACATACAATTTGTATGCGCACTTTCAAAATGTATGCACATCTTGGCATTTCCATAAATCAATTTTTTTATGTGCATATCCAAAATGCGCATAAAAATAGGAGAATGGATACGTAGCTAGTTTCAGGCTCCTTTTCAGGATTTTAAACATCTCCTAGGTGAGAGAGCTCCTGGATTTCAAACAGCATAAGAGTGAGTAATTAAAGAGAAAAACAAAAATTATATCATCATTTACTTTTCAAACCCCTTTGAGTTTTTTCCTTTGTAAACAAAGAAAGAAGGTATTTTGAAGAAAGCTGGAAACCAAATGCATTTGTTTTTCCAACTAAGAAAGTCAATGGTTACAGGTTTTCAGCTTTCTTCAAAATATCTTCTTTTTTGTTCAACAGAAGAAAGGAACTCAAACAGGTTTGGAAGCACTTGAAGATGAGTATACAGGGAGTACATTTTCATATTTAAGTAAACAATCGCTTTAATAAATGAATAAATATTTATGAGTGAACTAATCCTTTATTTAATCTAAATTTGGTGAAAAAACCCTGATTTTGGAAAACAAGATGAAAGGTCTGCCCAATATTAGCCAATCCTGAATCCAGAAAACGTTTTCTACACGACGAAGTATGACGCAAAACAAGAACGTTGGCATATTTCTGCTTTTTAAGCATCTGGAACTGCTGTGAATTATGATAAATCACTGCCGTTTGTAATCAGCATACTAACAATGGAAAAAAACAGTTTTCCTCAAAAGAAAAAGTTCAAAAAACAGTAGCCTCAGTTTCTCTCTCTCTCTCTTTCCCTGTTGACATTTAGATATAAAGTGCAGTGCTGTGTATGTAGCGCTTCTGTTCAGTCATTTATGTACACAGCATTAGAGAAATCAGCCACTGGAGCTCTTTCTTGTGCCTGGAATACTAACAAGCCAGTCAACCTGGGCCATTAGGATAGTTTATAACCACTAAAACCCTTGAACACATCCAAGAGCCAAAAACAATCTGGAGACCGTCCAGCAGATGTTTGGGTGAAGGGGACATATTGCCCTTGCCATACTGAGTATGTAAGTATCAAATGTGTATCGGCATAGATCAACAGTGCACATCGAACAACCGGCAACCACTTTAAAGACATTTGCTGAAAAATCACACTTTCTGCTCTGAGTTTAGAGTCACCAGTCAAGGCTATTTTATTAATCAACTACCACGACTGAAATTACAGGTAAATGAAAAACTCAATGATGCTAACAACAGTCACAGAAAACTTTATGATGCATACAACAGCCTGAAAAAAAATAATAAAAAAATCAGTCAAGCGCATGTTTCTATAGAACCAATGGTTTGAACATTATTGATAGCAATTATATAGACACTGGCTTCTGCACTGGCAGCACAGTGGCTCTGTCACCTCACAGCAAGAAGGTTGCTGGTTTGAGTCCCAGTTGGGTCAGTTGGCATTTCTGTGTGGAGTTTAAGTGTTCTCCAGATGTTTCCTCAGATGCTCTGGGTTTCCCAACAGTCCAAAGACATGTGCTAAATTGTGAATGTGAGTAATGCGAGTGTAAGTTTTGGTTTCATACATTCATTCACTTGTCGGCTTAGTCCCTTTATTAATATGGGGTCGCCACAGCGGAATGAACCGCCAACTTTTCCAGCAAGTTTTTTACGCAGCGGACGCCCTTCCAGCCGAAACCCATCTCTGGGAAACATCCACACACACATTTACAACGGACAATTTAGCCTACCCAATTCACCTGTATCACATGTTTTTGGAGTGTGGGGGAAACCGGAGCACCCGGAGGAAACCCAGGCGAATGAAAGGAGAACATGCAAACTCCACACAAAAATGCCACCTGAGCCGAGCCTCGAACCAGCGACCTTTTTGCTGTGAGGTGACAGCAATTGCAATTAATACTGCGCCACTGCTTCGCCCCAGTTTTGGTTTCAACTGTTTTATTTTTTTTTTTACTTTAATTTTATTTTCACTTTAAACATTATGCTTTGGTTTTAACTGGAAGTTAACTCTTCAAAACTATTATTAGGTTTGTGCAATTAATTGAAATCATACTGAAATCACGATTTGAACGTTACAGAATGTTTTTTCTGCAGTATGCTATTTGAATAAATTATAATGCAACAGACCCAAAAAGAATGCGAGAAGAGGAGACTGGGCTTAATGACAAATATCCTGCATAAACAAAGATGATGAGTTCAGCACGGGGAGAGTTGGTGCCCAAATGTACCGAAGAACCAGGTAATATGCAAGATCTGTCAGTCAGTAACTTATGTCTAAAAGCATGTGGAAAGCATGAGGCAATTCGCTTCCTTCAACACGCTTTGCGCTTGTACTCCTTTGTCATTGCTCGGCAACCATCAACAGTTTTCTCAAAGGATGACAAACTAACAAAACATTGCTGCAGCTCTGATACAACTTTTATTTATGGAGAAAATGAAAAAGCACTGCAGATGTTCTGTGTCTGTCTGAGGTAATTTGTCTACTGAAATGTGTATATTCCATACAAAGTATGAGGCTGATCGGTCAGTTATGGTTACGTGACCCCCTCCATTGGAAATAACGGACTTGTTTATGCAAAAGACGTAACATGTCAACGGCCTATTTCACAGCAGTTTCACAAGGTCTATAAAATGTGCATACAAAAAAAGAATAAATAAATGAATACACAGAAAAGTACACACAACTAGAAATGTGTTCAAGCAGAAAATTAAAGCATTATGCAGAGTTTAGACTGCATGATTTTAGCCCCGATTTTGACCAACAGGTTTTGAAAAATCGCAGACAAATGCCTGAAATCACATGCATTCGTGCGATTTAAAATCACACTGTATAAACTATCAAAGATGCGATCTGAGAGAATCGCAGATGAGTCGTCAACACCCGTCAGATATTCAAATCATGCAGCGTGAAATGTGTTCTGATTAATAAATACCATCATATATTAGATACCATTATAGCACTTAAGTTCGGTCTATTTGGACTCAAGAATTGAAGGAAAAAAATATTTAAAAACTCAGCAGGAGCGCCCGTGTGTGTTTGACATGCAATTTGAGCAATATCACAACTGGGTGAAAAAAAAAAAATGGAAAGAAGAAATTGCTACTTCCCATCAAAACCCAGGTGAGCAAAAATAAGTAGTGTGAAACCACCTGTCGCTGATCCATCTTGAAGTAAACAAAGCAGCGACCAAACGCTACCCCAGATAGACATAAAGTGTGAAAACATCTGTGATGCGACTACTTTGAAAATCGTGTAGTCTGATCTTGACATTACTTCAGTTTGACAAACACATTACTCTCTTTATTTGTTTTGCCAAAAGTCTGTTCTACAGAAAATTTGTTACACCTTTACTAGGTGATTTTTATTTATTTTTTGCCATATGTCTGTTTTAGAGACATATTACAGGTCTTTAATAAAGATCTAACTGCTTTGTTAATGTTTCAGATTCACAGTGTTAAATGTCTGTGTGTGAAAAAATTGTGATTAAATCGTGATTATTTATGTTGCCTGTCGCACAGCCCTATAAACTATTATTACTAAAAATAAAACTAAAACTAAATACAACTTAATAGAAATGTGTTCATCTAAATAAAACACACTCAACTGTAAATTATAGCAAATAAAAAAAAATAATAGTGAACAAAATAATTAAAAATACAACACTAAAATGACTTTGTAGCCATCTGCCTTTCACTGTCTAGGAGATATATAAACATATGTATCCAAAATCAGGTGATTTTTGCCCATTTGGCTGTCAGCCATTATTCATTAACTCTGCTGGAACAGGCAGTCTAACTGGGGCATGGAAAAAAAACACAGACTTCATTAAAACTTTAGCATGATCAACAAGCGTTCTAAAGCATAATCAACACTGAACATCAAAATAAACCAAGCAGAATATTTGATTCATTTCATTCGGGGGAAGGACTGACAGCATGCCAGACTTCTGTTCATCTGAAGGCCAAAAAGAAGAATAATTCAAATGCTTCGGATGGTCAAAATTACAGCTGGTGAAAAAGTGTTTTAGAGATGGCTCAAAAGTCTACAAGATGGATTGGAGCAAAACTCAGAACAGAGGTTCAATAAGACTGTTTTCTCCCAACAAGATGAATATTTTCTTCTAAGATGTTATGATGCTATTTTATGATGTTTTGATGACCAGACTGACAAAAATATCACATATTCATATTGCATCGCAAATATTAAAGATCTTTAAATAGACAGGCGTTTTTTTAGGATTTGGCAAACTTTTAGCAGCCAAGAACACATAAAACTGACAGTACGAACTTAACATAATTATTCAAATCATCCAAAACTATCCAAAAAAATAAACACATCACGTTGACAGTAATAAAGAAACACCACCAATAATAATAATAATAATAATAATAATAAAAAAATAATAATAATACAGTGGCGCCTCGTTATTTGTGCAAGTTGATTTACCCGCAATAGGCCATGAAAGCCACAAAGTAGTCCGCTTTGTTTTTTACAATTATAAGAGATGTTTTCAGGCTGTTAAACCCATCACTATACAGTTTTCTCAGACAGACATTAACATTTTCATACTTTTCTCTCTTGTTTAAACACTCTCAAAGTTAAAAATTTTGTAGAAAACTAAGTCCAGCTTTAACAGAATGAAACTAAAGATCAAAACCTGGGCACAATCCCAATTCTACCTCTTAGCGCTTCCCCTCGTTTTGCGGTTTCACATGAAGCGGTAGGGGTGTCCCAATTCTCTTCAGCTAGGCCTAAGGGGAAGGGGTAGATACCTCTTCAAACTAAGAAAATTTCCCAAAATACACCATTTACAACAGCAGAATGGCTGCACCTGCAAGTCATGAGATGCTCAAATTAGGTTTTTTTTGTCATTATTACAAATTTTTACAACAAACAAGCATTTGTTTTAATAAATTCATAATTGCGTTCAGGTTTTACCGTCATGCTTTAAAAAATAAAAACCGCTAAATTTCACTATCTATAATCCCAAATAATAACACCTGTATAGCAGTCCTGCAGCATTCTGTCACTCGATGACACTCGAATATCCTGTCAGAAAAGTATAGAGGCTGGGAATGATCTTTTTACAGTGTCTGGTATAATGTTAACGTTGTTTTCGTGTGATTACATGGATGAATATGGCCACTCTAATCCACCCGTGTGCTTACCCTGAAACAAACCTATGTTTACAATTCAAAAAAAGCATAGCGCTGTGTGGCACGGCGTGGCACAGTGCATCCGATGTGCAACCCCCTTTACTATGGTCGTGCTGCGGACAGTTACAACTCATTTTGGAACTCATACTGCTAGTGATCGAATATTTATGTTAAATTGGCAAGCTTAATGCATTCTGTACTGTACAGGAGACATAGAGGAGTATTATTGACAAAGGTCTACAGCCAATCAGGGCGCAGAACACAATGAAGAGGTATCCCATACTCTAAACTCCACAAATGTATCATGAAGACATTCAAAACATTAATACTAACATACCTGTAGCTGGCCTGATCAAATCCATGATAACCGAATCGGCACCCTTAGTGTAGACTGTGATCTGTTCAGTCAGCGGATGCTTAACCACCACCGACATCCTCTTTCTTGTAGAGTCAAACCCCAAGGTGTGCAGAAGCTCGAAGCTCAACTTTCCCAAATGTGGAAGTTCAACCGTCACCTGATCAGGCAAACGACCAACGAGAGCGCATTTATAAGCCCGAGCTGCATAAACCAGAGCGGCTTCGTCCGGAGACTCAGCTTCAAACCTGAGTTCACATTCATCCTGAGCCAAAGCTTTAGATTTATCGAAGTTTGGCGGGACGGGGCTGAAAGCATGCTGTAGGTCATGTTCCTGCCGCTTCTCCTCGTTTAGTTTGGTGAGCGTGTTTTCAGCTGACGGGGAGGACAGCATGCTGCAACCCAGTTTATGTGAGGACGAGCGGTTGGTGGCCAGACTGGAGGAGCTGCTGCTGTTGGAGCCGGAGGTCAAGCGGCTCGGAGTGAAGCGCTTGATGAAGTCCTCGATCGTCTTCACTGGAGACTTCAGCTCGAAGCGACGCACCTGAAAGAGATGCAAGGGTAAGCTGTCAAAACCGAAGTGCTTGAATATGTGTGCTTGATTTATGATTGTGATGATGTGTTGGTTTAGCAGCAGGGTCATTATAGATAGACAAAACTAAAAATTTAAACTTTTACAATGTATAAAAAGAAATGTATTTTAAGAGTGGTTTTATTAGCAGGGTTGATTTAGCTACCTAAAATTAAAGACTAAAAATGTAACATCCATCCATCCATCCGTCCGTCTATCTATCTGTCTGTCTGTCTGTCTGTCTATAACAGAATTTATTGCTGGCATATAACATTTCTTATAGCTGCAATATTAAATATGTTATATCTGGTTATTCAATGTTTTTATTATAGTGTAGTATAATAAAAAAATCAAAATGGAAATAAAGTGAATAAAACTACAATAAAAGGTCTGACAACATTTCTTCCAAATACAGTTAAAAACAAATCTGAAAATTACAATCAATGAAAACAACACGTTTTCATTTGTTGTCATTTGGAATCAGGGTAATTGCTGATAAAAATATAAGAATAATAATCTAAATACAAATATAAACTCTAAAAACATGGGACTGTTTTATTTTGATGTATTTTTATTTGCCATTTGAAAAAAAAGTAATCTGTAGTTTCCAGAATGAAATGAAAACAGCATTTTACTCAACTATAAATCTGAGAAATGCAAAGTTGATTGTTATAGCTGTAAAAAGTTCTCCAACACAAAGAACACGAGAAGTATTTAAACAGTGGCCTAGTCAAAATAATGGTATGGCTCATGAAGTCACCCTACTAATTCTCCACATAAACTTCATTCACTCCTACTGAATAAAATCTATTAATTGGGGGAAAAATCTTTTAGAAACGCAATTAAAGAATGGAGAAATTACAGCAGAACTTTCAGTTGGCCTCATTATCACTAAATACACTAAATTATCATCAAATGAAAAGCACTCCATTCAAGCTCTGACTTGTATGATAAGGATGGGGGTTAGTCTTAGATTGCAGCTTCTGCCAAATCCTCCATAAACACTTGTAAAAAGTATTCAGGTCATAACCTAATGCTGGAAAGACACCAGACAGAGTGGAATTTGGGGGAAGCTCAAAAAACTAACAGGTCAAGATTACACACTAAAGAACAGGCCACACATCTTCAACAGAAACAGGAAGCTGCTCCTACACAAATAGAAGAAATCGACCACAGGAAACGGCACAGCCCACACACGAGACAAAAAGAATTGTGTGACTAGAGATGCTTAAATTGTTCTAATATTAAAACAACATCTAATTTTTAAACCACCGTCTATGACTAACAATGCATTACAGCATAAAGTAAAAAATAAAAGTTTCTGAAGAAAACTACTCATTATGGTGAGTGGGAGTGTTAGTTATTGCAGACTAAATCTGAAAATTTAGTCCATAATTCTCGCACGTTAAAAAATAAGCTGGACCTCACATTGTGTAAATCATTTTGACACTTCTTCCGAAACCTTCGTTCAACATAAAAAAATAGAATCAGGTTAGTTTTTTCCACTTTCTACATCCAAAAAAGAGCTTTGAAAAGTGTTTTGACAGTTCACAACCACCGTACAAGCATAAGCGAAATATGGAATACCGTCATTTGAGCCACAGATAACTTTATGACAAACACAGTGCATAAAACAAAAACAGAATGTTGTGAACAGTTGAGAACCCCTATATGCTGGATTCAGTGACTGGCACACCTTTGCCCTGCTGATATTTGATTGTGTGTGTGTCCATACATTTGACATATTGTCCTTAGACATTATAATAGAAAGCATGGTCCGCTTTCGTTCTGTTGCTTCGACACGTCAACGTGGTTACCATCTATCACAATGTTTATTGGTACTGCCAGTCTAAGATCAGGATTTGTTTACATATGTGAACGCATGAAGCATCACAAGCAATGAAATAAAAAAAACACTGATTTCCTGAAAAAAACTTTTCATTTGGGTATAATGCAGAGCAGCTCTTTGATAATGAGCTGAACTTTCCTTCTAGTGCTGAATGAACACAATATGCAGCCTATTGCTCTTTCTTTTTCTACTTTGGAGAAGAGAGCAGAAAAATGTATAACTGCTTGAATTGACTCCGAAATGTTTTGCGTTTTTTTCGTAATGGATTAATTAATACGCATCGGACTCAGTGTGCAAAGTTTGTTTACATGATGAATTTTTCCGCATATGACTACAAAAAAAAACGCATACGAAAATTTCGGACTAGAGAGTGCAAAGACCTTTAGACTAAAATGCCTACCTTGTTTGACATCAATACAATTTTTTTTCTTATTTAAAGGTGTTATATGTTTCGGAACAGCTTTTAACATTTAGGTTGGCCTACAAAACACAGTGACTTGTATTCCAGAACATACTATACTTGACCAAAAACTCACCAGCATTGACCTTTTTTATAAAATGAATGGCACGTTCAAAAAGTCAAGCTAGACAAAATGGGCTATATGCACACAGACTTTTATTTTTCAGACTTTTTATTTTTCTGGTAAACTGTCTTTTCATTACAAAATTGTTATGCTGAAGATCTGATTTCTTTAAAAATCAGCAATCTTCACTGCCCGTTAGATATACAATATGAAGTGGGTCTCAGATTGGACAAGAAGAACTGCATTAAATTCCATTCCCCCGGCATGTCTTTAAAATATGTTAGTTTATTTTACCCCAGTATTTTTAATGGAATTTATGCGCTAGCCTGTTGCTACTGATGGCGCTATAGGTTATAATGGTCTTTCATCTCGTTTTACGCTTGAACAACTAAATGAATGCTTAAGTTTATTTAACTGAATGTAATTACATTACAACATCGATGCTATAAAAACAACCTTGTGAAATTGAAAAAAGTCACATTAAGCTTTCACAGGAAGTTTGTCGTTGACTTTAAAACTCTAGCTGTGCACAGAGCTCATTATCGACATAAAATGGTAAACCTCAATTGCAGAAAATGTATGGTGATAGTTCTTCTGCATAGCTTGTACACAGACATCACATTTTTTTTGGATGGACATTATATATAATCTTCTACATATTTATATATAATGTCCGGCCATACACAACTCCCTTACTTTTCTGATTTTGATTGTAATGCAATAATGTGCAACTTCTGTAAAGCTGCTTTGAAACAGTAATTATTGTGAGAAGCGCTATACAAATAAATTGAATTCAAATGGATTGAATACCTTCTGCCGGGGTTGATTTGGTGAAGAAACAACCACAGTGTTGCAGATAGTGAGAGCGATGAAGAAGTCGAAGACGTCACACAGGTCAGGCGGGATCTGATTCAAGGACTGACTGTGAAAACGCATGAACTCCATCTGACTGCTACACTCATTCACCTTATCCATCAGCTGGGGATCCGGAGTAATGTCCTTCTCCTGTCGAAACAGACAAACACAATTTTTTAATTCAATCAAACATACAGTTACTGAGCTTAAAGAGACAGTTCATCAAAAAATTAAATTCTACACTCCATTTATGTTTTCAGTTAGAAAGATATATTGAAGAATGTTGAAAATGGGTAGCCATTGACCTCAATAGTAAAAAAATATATAATGACAGTCCGTGAATACAGCTCTTCAAAATTCCTCATAATATCTCAAGATTTACTTCAATTGAAGAAAAAAAAAAAACTAAAGCTAAAAAGAGGAGGGTATTTTTTTTTTTTTTTTGGTTGATCTATCCTTTTCTGGTGGACTGGAAGTGTTTGCTGACCATGGGGCTGCTGAAGGCAGTGTGTTTGGATAGAATGCTGGCCCGTTTGGCTTCAGCTCTGCTCCCGGTGCGGCGGTGAGATTTGGTGCTTTGTGATCGCAACACCACTTTTCCGCTCTGGTGGCTGGCAACGCTGTCCCGCCGTGGAAGAGTCCCACCATGAGATGTGCAGTCCTCCTCCTCTGACTCCACCTCCTGGTACATAGCAATTCTTCTTGCTGTGGAAAGACACAATGTTAGCTTCAGTTTCACTTTTGGTCGATAATTGGAAGCTTCTTGAAAGACTTTTGTCCCATTTTCTTTTTACTAGTCCATTTTCTAAGATGTCCATTTGGGGTAGTGTGAATATTCAATAGTATACACATTTAGAATTAAAGCATATATTTATTATTTATAAATGCCGTCAATGTAGTACAGTAATTTAGCAACTAAAGCGATAACATACATGTAAGATCACTTAATAAAGCTGCAATTATTTAAGAAAAAGTAAAAAGAGCAATGTTGCTAAACAATTAAGTTTATAACTATGTTTTATAAAATATAAAAAAACAACAGTATTTGATACTATGAGAGAAAGAAAATCAAACAGGTTTTAAAGAAGTGAAGGTGGAGGGAATTTTAATTTTTGAATGAACTATCCGTTTAATGGGCACCTATTTTACCCCTTTTTCAAAATTTTAAGTAAGTCTTGTGTCTCCAGAATGTGTCTTTACAGTTTCAGCTCAAAACATCCATCAGATTATCTATTATAGCTTTTAGAATATTGGATTTTCTGCTCTGAACAACCATGTAGCTGTTTTTGTTTCCTGTGCATTTAATGCTAGTTCTTCCCACCCACCATTCCCACTTGTGTGCCTCAATCTCTGCCTTGGCTACATCAGATAAACAGCACATTGCCAAACATAAAGAAAGCAGATCTCTTGTAACTTTTGTAAGAAACACTACAGTAAGAGTCACACACAATGGTGTTACAAAGTTCACGCATAGACAAACACACACACAGTGCATGCGTCTACCTTTTAACTGTTGTTGCACTGCAAATGTGACAGGATACATGTTAATATCCACTGCTGTATGGATATCCATTACGTTAATGTAAAAAAAAACGATTTAATGTCCAAAAACTGGGATTGAAGCCTCTTCTTTTATAACTGTACTGACACTATGCAGCTGTGGTGATAAAGTAAAGAAGGTAAAATCGCTGTAATTCATTACAAACAAGCGTTTTCAATTTGTAAAACTCATTCATGATTATATTTGATAATAATTGATGATCACAGCAAGCCAGACAGATCTTTTTTTCGCAGTTGCTTTGAGCATGTCCGGTCTTGTTGATATGATAATATGTGTTACTACAGAGATATGTTAATACGAGGCTGTCAATCAATTCGGTGGGCGGGAAATCCGCATGCCTACATCACGTTGCAGTGGGCATCAAAATGGGAAGGATCTGGATCCTATTTTATAGTCAGGAAATAAAAAAAAATACATACTGTCTTTATATCACCCCAATATGAAAGTGGACACTATACCTACACACACATCTGTACAAACAGCTTACAAAACAGCTCATTATAGGTGCCCTTTAAGTGTCATTACTGTCACTTTTATTCAATTCAATTAGTCTGTGCTAAATAAAAACATTACTAGTGTCGCAATGATCTTCATTTGGGGGCATTTTATATATGACATTAATTGTAATCAGTGCAATTAATACCACTAATTGGCTAAATGAATTATAAAACTCTAATTTCACATTGACTGACAGCCCTCATTTACAGAGGACTGCTGTTGTGTGCACAAAATGAAAATGACACTGCAAGCACTAACCATTGGCATCATGCGAGTACTCAACTCCTGCCACAGTACAGCGGCGAAACACCATCTTGTTTTCTGTGAGCGTTCCGGTCTTATCAGAGAAAATGTACTGCATCTGGCCCAGGTCTTCTGTGATATTTAGAGCCCTGCACTGCAGGTGAGAGTCTGTTTCCTCATCGTAAAGCTCCAAGTCCTGATGGATGAAGTACACCTGGCATATCTTCACTATTTCAATGGAAACAAACAGCGAGATTGGGATCAACACCTGGAACAAGGAGAGAAAAAGAAAAAAAGAAAGGTTTGGTGTAAAATCATGCAGGGTCATCATTTCTACCAGAAACTCTACAACAAATGGAAAAAAAAAACTTTAAAATCAAAAACAAAATTAATTAAAATCTACAACATTTAGATTTTTTATGCATTAAATGTGCCATGGAGTGTATTTATTAAATGTGTTAACTTGTTCTCTGATATCTACATATTATGTGGCTTAGGTAAATGCAAAAAAAAGGGGAAAAAAAGCCAAAGAATTTATAAACGCAGGAATTACCCATAATATTAGAAAGCTCAGTTTTTACTATATTTGAAATGGTCATGAATATTATCAGACCCCCTAGTTTTTAATAATTTTTTGTGATTGTTTGTGATAAAAATGACTGTTTTAATGGTGGTAATTCCTCGAAATTTGCAAACAATTTTGCAAGTAAAAATCTATATACAAATATAAAAAAATTCTAAGAAATTATATATATATATATATATATATATATATATATATATATATATAAATAAATAAAATAATATATTATTAGGTAGCCTACTCAGTTAGGTGTGCAATCTGACACAATGAAATAAATCATGAAAATAAAGCATCTTTATTTTGGTATCTTATCAAGACCTAAAAACAAATGTCATGACCTAAAATGGTCATGTCCAGCCGCCGTCATCCGTGAACCAATCTCCAACATTGTAAGCTGCTTCCTTTTCTGTCTGTTCCATTGCTCCGTTTGTTAGATGTTTGCTCACACATTCTTTTTAACTCTGACGTGTGTCAAACACAGGAAATGCCCAATTTCCATAGTGTTATTCACTCGATTTGCGCCACAGGATGTCTCATCCCATCTTTGCACTGACTTCACATGTAAATCTCTGGCACTTCATCAGCATCTGCTTACTGCACAGGCTGCAAATCAATTTTCCCCCACCTCTATGTAATGTAATGATTGTGAGGGCGCAGGTGAGATGTCATTTTTACGTCTATAAGTCATGTGAAGCAATTATATGCAAACAGAAATAAATCTAATTTGACTTTATGTATTGGAATTGGATGTGTTTTATGAGATTATTTAAATTTTTGGTGGTTATTTTGCATTTAAATTAAGAATTTTGCAAGAACGCAAAATCGCGAAAAACTAGGGGGTCTAACTAATAAGCTCTGCTCTAGTGCTTCGCAAGCTCATGTCAGTGCCTGATGCGCTCTCTCTCTCACAAGACAACACACACACACACACACACACACACACACACACACACACACACGCACACGCACACGCACACACACGCACACACACGCACACGCACACACACGCACACACGCACACACACACACACGCACACGCACACACAAAATATAATGTACTCTGAAACATGCATGTAGAGTTGTATTTTGAAACTGAAACATAAAACATAGCTAACGAAGAAAATTTCCCAATATACATGTTAAAATAACAAAAGATAAATGAAGTTAAATGAACCTTATGACTCTTTGGGTTGATACTGAATACATTTTTCTGTATATCTCGCATTTTGCATCCTGACAATAAGTTGTGATGAGATGAGCTATTCCATGCCTGTCTGTATTAACTGAGAGCTATATAATGCCAGTCTTGTTTTCAAAATAAGAGCCTCACATACATAGTAAGTATAATGCAAGCTTGAATAAACTTAAAAATTATCATTGTTGTAATGTCCTTAGGAAACATAGTGGCCAATAAAAAGCTTCCTGAGGCTATTAGTGTTTCACAGATTTACCTGTTCTTCACTGGGATTTAACACTTACAGGATTTACACGAGAACAAGGAACTGATGTTGTTTGAGGCTCACAGTATATCAATTCATTGTAATGAACTATTATTATTATTCAGGTATGCTTGATTTTCATTCTATGGCACTTTCAAAGAATAAAAGCTATTCATAAGCCCCTTGTACCATCGCCCTCACAACACTTGTTATTCACCTGGAATACTATAATCATGGTGAGGAAGAGATAAATGGCTGAAACCACTGGAGATAATTCTGTTCCTTCTGGGCCCAGGACGTCAAAGACAGGCCTCTTATCTCCATACTGAAACATCCACAGGCCATGTCCTAGAAGGAGGATTCAGAAACACTTTACAGTATTAGGCATGTGAAATGGAATCATGGGTAATGTAATTCAAGACATACTGGAAATGCCCAAGAAATTGCTTACAGAAACCAAAACACTGCTTTCTCTAAATTGCATACTTAAATCAGATACATTTATCAACCACTGCATTTTCCATCATGGTCAGAGGCATTAAAATAGAAGGATTTTTTGTAGTTGTAAATGCTATATGTATTAAATAACATTACCCTGTAATGGACATTACTGTATGCCTGCTCAATGTAATCTTGTTTGTTTTATTGGGTTTATTTTCTGATTTGGACACAAAAGATAAATCTAGCAGCGAAACAGCTTCTTGTTATGCAAGACATTAAGAACTCAAAACAATAATTAATATTAGAAAATGTACATTTTAAAATGTTTTAACATCTTATTTGAAGCATTTGTTTTCAAATCTGCAGCATTTACTTCAAGGCTTCAGCTTGCTCAAACAAATTAGTTGTGCTCAGATCCATGCTAAAACTAAATCAGTTTAATACCACCAGTATAAAGTGATCATGGTCCGACTGAAAATGAACTCTGAAGCGGTTCAGATAAGGTGAGAAAGCAATCTGACCCAAGGGACAAATGAACCAAGCTGTATCATAATTCATACCTGAAAATGTTACATAAAAAGTAGCGGTGTCTGATTCTGTGAGTGTGCACATTAGTTATCACCGTTTAAATAAAAAAATAAGGAGAGGCTCTTTATCTTAAAATGTTGTTTTAATTGCTCTTCGCTGTGCATTCCATGCATGATGCCTTGATTGCAGCTCTAACTGTTTCATAAATCGCATCTCTCTTTTGAAATTTAATGAAATGCATAACTTATCAGTTAAAGTGGGAATGCCGGCTACATACTGTGTGTTATGACAGCTACAGATAAGCCTGTGGAGCATAAACAGGTGCATTCTGACCAATGGGAGAACAGTTGTGCTCACATAACATTTTGGAGCGAAGCAAACCAAGATGAAAATGTAACACTGTAATAAACAAAGCCACCATTTTTCAACTAAAAAACGCAAAGTTTATAAACATCTCACTAAACTAACTTGCAATACTCAGCAAGAACTGTATTGATGTAAAGTGTAACATACCAATGGCAGAAAAGAGGCACATGACCAAAAGGATGATGACACACCAGAACACGTCTACGTTCATCTGCCGCTCCAGTTTGCTGCGTTTATAACGAGGGCCGTTGTTGTTCAGCATTGCTTTTGTCTCATGACCTGAAAACCAGTGCAGAGGAAAACACTCACATTTTGTAAAGATAATAGAAACTGCACCAGTCATGGAATAAATCTGGTATTATTTACATAGTAAGTAAACATGGTTGTTAGTAAACATGTATAAAAAAGACATACATAATATACAAACTCCTTTTTGAAAAGATTTTTCTATTTGTAAACTTGGTAGCACACATTTCTGAATCGTCATGTATTTTTGCTTCTTTTCAAAAGGAGTAGCATTTTTAAACTACGAAGATAAAACTGTAATATTTATTATTTATAGGGCACCTATTTTACCCCCTTTTCAAGATTCAAGTCTTTTGTGTCTCCAGAGTGCGTTTGTAAAGTTTTAGCTCAAAATACCCATCAGATTATATGTTATAACATTGGAATTTTCAGCCCTGGGCACATTTTAGTTGTTTTTGTTGCCTTTGCCTTTAATACAAATGAGCTAGTTATCCCTGCCCACCGTTCCTACGTGCCTGTCAGAGCCACAGAGATCTCTCACTGTGGCTCTGATGCGTGTCTCCATCTCCTGCTGCCGTCAGATAAACAGCAGTGACAGACATGAAGGAAGCAGATCTATTGTAATGTTTGTGAGAAACACAATTGTTGTGGAGTTAATTCAAGCCTTTTTGCAACGAGTCGCACTCAGTGTTGTTACAAAGTTCACATGCACACACAGCAAGCACGTTTGACTTTTCACTGTTTTTGCACTGCAAATGTGACAGGATACACATTAGTATCCACTGCTGTATGGATATCTGCTATGTTAATGTGCAAAATAAGCCTGATTTTAAGTCCACAAACCAGGATTGAAGCATCTTATTTTATAATTGTACCGACACTATGCAGCTGAGGTGAATTACACTGATTTTACTGTCTATTATAAACGTATAAAGTTTTTTAAACTTGTAAAACTTATTCTTGATCATATTTGATGATGATTGATAATCACAGAGTGCAGAACAGATCTTTTAATTCCAGTTGCCTTTGGGCACAGCCTGTCTTGTAAATATGAATTCATATGTTACTACGAAGACATGTTAATAGGGGGCTGTCAATGAATTCGGTGGGTGGGAAAACTGCACTCCTACATCACGTTGCAGTCGGCATCAAAATGGGAGGGATTTGGATTTTATTTTAACTTCAGGAAATTTAAAACAAAATAATAAAATTGCTTTAAAAAAATACTTATTGTCTTTATATTACTCCAATATGACTGTGGACACACCTACAACCTACACACACTTCAGTCAAAACAGCAAAATATATATATATTTTTTATTTATAAACAAACATTATTTTTTTTCCAAATTACAACTACCCACTAGCTATGACTTTCTTCACAATCAGTAATTTGGATTGAACTTTTTTTTTTTTTTAATAAAGCAATCATTTACCACAATAATATTATTAAGTGGCATGCTTAAAGAAAACCTGTGATGAAATTTAAGAAAAATTTTAATATTTAATGAAACATTTTTTTTATTTGATTTAATAAATGAACATTTCATTGAATTTTTTTAACCATTATCACAGACAACGACTCGATTTAAAACAGTATATTAATATATAGAAAATGTTAAGTATATTTATTACACAGTACTTTGATGTTTATGTCTTGACATTAAAGAAAACTACATAATGCTGCTCTATGAGGATTTCTAACACAACACTGGAGGGAGTGACTAAAACATTATATCTTTTTACTATTCAGATCAATGTTATCAATCTTAATACCAACTCAGTCAGACTGTCAAAACATTTTAATTTAATATTTTTACTTTAATGAGGTTTTAACTTTTTGTATGTTACTTTTGCTAACATTTATGCATGTTCAATTCATTTTCTTATTTTTAGGGAAACTGAAGCAATGTAAACAACTTCAAATGATTCATTCATTCGTTTTCTTTTCGGCTTAGTCGACACAGCGGAATGAACCACCAACTTATTCAGCATGTTTTACGCAGTGGATGTCCTTCTAGCTGCAACCCATCTCTGGGAAACATCCATACACACTCATACACTACAGAAAATTTAGGCTATCCGATTCACCCGTACCAAATGTCTTTGGACTGTGGGGGAAACCGGAGCACCCGGAGGAAACCCACGCAAACACAGGGAGAACATGCAAACTCCACACAGAAACGCCAACTGACCCAGCCGAGGCTCGAACCAGCGACCTACTTACTTTAAATGATCAATTTCCTAGTTCAGCCCTGAAAATGGAGCTAATTAAAAAGCTCTGCACTGTTTAAAAAAGAAAGAAAGAAAGGCAAGGATACCTGCATAGATGACGATTCCTACAGCCTCCTCTGTGTTGCGAATGGTGCAGCCCCTGAGCAGCAAATTGTCTTTGTACAGGCCGTCTCTCCTCCCACTGCGATGAATTCTGTCATACAAACCACACAAACTCATTCACCACACTTACAAAACAACATATTGGTGTACTACACATAATCCAGCAACATTATAAACTCAATTCAATTCATCTTTGTTCTATAGCAATTTTACAATGTAGATTCTACAACGTAGAAGTTCTAGTAAAATGAAACTGTGTCAGTCCAGTTTTCAGAGTTAAAGTTCAGTTTAGTTTAGTTTGTTGTGGCTTAAATTTCACTGCTGTAAATATAAACACTGAACAGCAAGTCCATCAATGCGCAGCACCACAAGATCCAAACCAAGCAAGGCAGTGGAGAGGAACGAACTTCACCAACTGATGAAAGTGAAGGAAAAAAGCCTTAGTTGAACTCCTCTCTCCTCATTTGCTTGAATTAATAAGAATAAAAGCCAACGTTGGCCTTTACAACCATATGTTGAAGAAACTTCTAAGGGATTTCCGCATAATGCTGTATCCCTTGTCACTGAGCATCAATCCATCACAGTTGACAGTCCACAGGGTTTCCCCTCAGGATCTCTTTTTGTCAGCACAAAATCAATAGAAAAGCCATGACCTCGGTAAAACGGCTCTGTACACAGGTAAAGCCCTCAGGCCAACGGGATCTAGAGTTCAGTCAGTGGCAGCACTTTTTTTTTTGTAAAACCCCAAAGCTGCATTGTAAAAGACATGAGCAGAGTGAAATGATTCTCAAGATAAATGAGATCGAATTAGTGAAATCTTCATTCCAGCGAGACCTCAGTTCCGAAGGTTGCGTGTGATTCCAACACCGGGAAAAAGTTCAAGAGGCCTCAGGGCTAAGCTTCCCAATAAAATGGCGGCAAATGCAAATTAACCCCCACTGAATGAGCGCTGAATGTTAAACACCTGTAGCGGGAACTCAATAAGCTTTAATGCAAGCACTTATCCCAGTGCTAAATTCAGGATTACATCTGTTTGTTAAAAAGCTGCTTGCTGTTGCTGAACTCTTCTTCTTTCAATTATCTGACAAGGCACCTGGCAACATTTGTATTTTTAGCCAATAGCAGTATATTTATCTTTGCCACATCTGTTTGTAATTAAACACAAAGATCAAATTAGCCATCTGTAAGCTTCATGCTGTCACTCACAGTTCTTTTTTAGTTCAGGACCACTGACCGCTTTGCAAGCTTGAACCAATGGGTCAAATTATGGCTAGTCAAGTACTGTCTAGTCATTGCATGTCATGTCATAAAGTCTTGTGCCCATAAAAGGATTGCATGTCATTAGCTATGTTTCCATCAACCTATTTTTATGTGCATTTTGGATATGCGCAAAAAAATAAATCGGTTGATGGAAATGCCAAGATGCACATCCAATTAGAAAATGTGCACAAAAAACATGCACATAAATTAGAAAATGTGCACAAAAAACATGTACATAAATGAGTAGGATAAACCATTTATTCGATAAGAAAAGATGCACATAAACTACGAAGGAAACCCTTTTACCGGACAAACTTCAGCATGTGCATTACAAAGTCATGTGATTATAAAGAGATTGTTATAATAAAAATGTGTGTGAATGGATAAACCAGCAGGCTGAGCACATTGTACAAGATCTGAAATGTTGTTTTGGTCATTCTATAACACCTTAACAGTTTCAGTATTATTGTTATTATATTTTTTTAATTACCTCCAGAACTTTCAAGAGTGTTTGTGCTCCGCATCTCACTCCTTCAAAATGCCACCACGGGTTCATTACATGTCGGCAACATCTTCTGAGGCGCAAGTGATTTATTAAATAGAGAAAAAATTGACACAGCTTCTCCTAACGCAGCAAAATCTATTTTTACTGTTGATATTTGGCATCAGTTAATCAGGAAGTGATGACTCTCTGTGACTCATAGGATGGAAACACTGCTTTATTTGCATGTCTTTTATGCAATATTACTGTTTTGCACAGTAGTTCATTAGCATTTTTGAATGGAGACATAGCTATGGATGGTCAATTAAAATTCAACTTCCAGTAGTGTATGAGTGTGAATGAGTGTGAGTGGATGTTTCCCAGAAATAGGTTGCGGCTGGAAGGGCATCCGCTGTGTAAAAACGTGCTGGATAAGTTGGCGGTTCATTCCGCTGTGGCGACCCCGGATTAATAAAAGGACTAAGCCGAAAAGAAAATGAATGAATGAATGAATGTTTGTTTAATAAAATAAAGTATACATATGGGGTTTATTCTTCATACCTTGCTTAAATGATCTAAGACGATTTGGCAGATCCTGGATCTTTAAATCTTGATAACTGATCATGCTAATTTGGTTCTTCGTACAAGTTTGCAAATCAGATAAAAATGTCTGGATGAACTGATCTGAGATCGCTGCGCGTGTTGTGAAAGACAGATCTATCGATCCTCGTAATCATGATTAGCAATGTAACGATTGGCTGACGGCACAACAGCATAATGACATCATCTGATTAGTATTCAATTATCCATGTAAGCTAAATTATAAAAAATTTGTAGTAAGCGGTTTGTAAAATATGATCCGCAATAACTTTTCACATTTGTTGTGAGCTGCAGGCTTTACACTTTCATGTGTCGAGAGTGTTTAGCCATTTATTAGTTTTACATTTTAGATCAGATTTTCTTTATTATAGTAGCGTAGGACTGTTCAAGTTTTTAATTGGCGTTAGGAATTTAAATAAAGTTTAAATAAAGTTTGCATCAAAAAAGCATTTTGATATCGGTAAAAGTGTCTGCAACTTTTGCAAAGCACCAAATCACCAGCATTAGCTGTCAAAATGTGCATGACTGCACAAATTATTTTTTCTTTATAAAAAACAAACAAACAAAAAACAGGTGAACATTGTGCATGTCTATTATCATATAGAAATTGTACTAAAGCTGGGTCGGTACCTTAAAATTGTATGCATATCTAAAAAGTCCATATTAATAAATGTTCTCTTTGATCCCCTTGGGAAGAACCACCCCACTTTTACTTTTATTTCAGAGTGCAGATTGCTTTATTTATATATTTTTTAAACTTATATGTATTTAAACATAAATATTAGGAATTATTTAAAATTATAAATGTATATATAAACTTTTTTTAAAAACCATTTTACTATTTTCCCAAGTGCATATAACCTATAGGTTTACTACTGAAAATATCAGCATCAGGTATAAACCTTCAGTATTACCTTTGCTTGAAAGGACAAAATCTAATCCTGTTTAAATGAAATAAGCCTGCTCCTGTCCAGGTTTGAGAACTGTTGCTACATATGCCAGACCTGTATGACAACATCTCTCGGATGAGTTTTGAAGAACAAAACGATCTTGGATCATGTCAAATCGTCAATAACCAAATCCAGCTAATTGAGTAATCCACATACAAAGAACGGACCCCTGTTCTGTGGGCTAGAAACCTTAAATGACTTCTGTTGTGATCCGGTGCTAGACAATACAACTAAATAACGATGTGCCTCCTAACATAATTCAAGGGGAAATGCTGCATTTTCGCCATCTATCCCTGTCTGTCCATCACAGTATGCCTCTCTCTATTTATCTACCTTTCCGTTCAGTTACCTATAAATCCACCCATCAATCTCTCCATCAATAGATCCATTTATCCACTTCTCCACTATTCACTGTTATCTCTGATTCCACTGACTTTCATTATACAAGCAAACACACTGACACATTCTTCGAAACATCTACCATGGAAGTCACACTGATTAGCAACAGCATGGTGGTTGAGTCAATGATGCCATTTTAATTTTTAGGTGTGAGTGGCAAGTGTGAAATGTTTAGGTGTTTGCTGCTTTTCACATTGCAGCTCAGGGTAGATGCTAACGGGTATTAGTCAGTCAGTTGTCATGATGTCATGGTTCTGGCCTACCAAAGCTAATATGCTGCTTTCATACCACAGCAAGTGAGCTCATTCTTCAGAACTGGACAGTTGTTATTTTGATATGTTAGCCAAAAAAAAAAAAAAAACAGTATCTGAATATAAAAGGACAAAAAAAGACTGAAATCTATGTAATTAAAATAATTGGCCTTTTTTTTTTTTTACATTTAAAAAAAATGTAATTTTACGTCGACGACTACTACTATTACTACTACTACGGCTGCTGCTACAACAACTACTACAACAACAACGACGACTACTACTACTACGGCTGCTGCTACATCAATGACGGCTGCTGCTACAACAACCAATACGACAATGACTATTATTACTGCTGCTTCTACAACGACAACTACTTCTACTACTAGTACTACTACTACCACTACGGCTGCTGCTACAATGACTAATAACGCCGTCGACTACTATGACAATGACTATACTACTACTAGTGCAATTACCATGACGACGGCTGCTACAAAGACGGCGACTACTGCTGCTTCTACGTCAACTACTACCACTACCATGACTGCTACTACTACAACTACTGCTGCTTCTACTACGTTGATGACTACTACTACTGCTGCTGCTTCTACTATGATGACGACTACTACTACTGCTGCTGCTTCTACTACGATGACGATTACTACTACTGCTGCTGCTGTTGCTACTAGACAACTACTACTACCATGACTACTGCTGCTACTACATCTACTACTGCTGCTGCTGCTGCTTCTATGACGATGACGACGACTACTACTACTACTACTACTACCACCACTATGACAACGATGATGACTTGATTGATCTATATAAATATTAGAGTTGTAACATATCATTAATTCCAAAAGATATCCATACAATTGGTCCTGTGTAAATTACAGTTTCAGCAAAAGCATGGTATATACAATAACAGAGTGAAATTCAAAACCGTTTAGAATCTTTTTAAAGACATTTTCCATACATTTTGCTTTTCGCAGGGTTTTCACTCTTATTAGATAGGACAGTAGAGAGAATTGACAGGAAAGAATGTGGAGCAGAGAGAGGGGAAGGATCGGTATAGGACCACGAGGCAGAATCGAACTCGGGCCGCCGTGAACACCAGAGTGCATGTGTCGACGCTTTAACCACT